CACCCTTGTTTGCCAGTCTCAGTTGGCCTCGGGAGCTTGTGGGGAAAGGGGGAAAGGGGGAAAGGGGTGTGATAGGGGGTGGCAGTTGGGGTGGTGAAAGGGTGAGATGGGGTGAAGATGGTGAAATAGGGACGGGGCACAAGGGGAGACCTTACCACACCCAGTTTCTTTGCTCGTAACAAAGACCTTCTACCTCGTCGAGGAGCTGTTGGTAGGCTTCTGGTTTGGTGAGGTTGGGGGAGAAGTTTGTTGCGTCGGCGTGGACCTTTTCTTCCTTGTTAGCAACTGTTTTTTTGGTTTGTATGACATGAGGCTCACCATTTGGACGGTTATGGGTTCAGATGGTCTGAGATTAGATTGTTGTTGGTGGTGATGGTGGTGAGCGATAAGATACAGCTGACTCTTTGTCTGCTGAACAGGTTTGAAAATGGGATTGGGTATCTCTAAAAAAAATGACAAATGGGTATCAAGAATGCGTGGAATTGGTGTGGATGAAGTTGAATTGTCTTAGAGATAAAAACACACCGAACCACCTCTCTCTTTATACACAACTTTCATACTTGCTCACCTGGCTTACACACACCTCAACTGTGGAGCCCGAACCGATGGCGCAATTCTCGCGATGCGCGATCGCACAAGGAATTGCTGCTTCATCAGGAAGCTCGCAACAGACCAGCAAGAATGCGGGGCGGGCCGGAGATAAAAATAGGGGATAAACCCGGCCGGGCTACCCCTGATTTTGAACTCATACAACAAGCAGGAAATCCAAATGCCGTAATCGATATCCATATGTACGCAAAATCCCATATGTACTGCGGCATATAAAAAGATGACACTATAATTCTATTTTAACAACACTACAACAATACTAACCCTACTATTTGACACATCAAGTAGGTGTCTGCCTCTAAAACAGCGAATGGATGAACGACGCTTGCTCTTCTTACACTTGTATGTATGCCTTCTTCTTTTTTCACTGCCATCGTTGAGAAATCAGCCCTCATTAACTTGTCGAGTGGTAAATAAAATCAGGCGGTTACTGCCGGCCCGTTTGTCGTCCCCAGGTGGGGAACCTTGACTGTCACTTCGCCATCACCCTCCCCGTCCACATCAAGCCCGCTGCCGCTGTCATCGTTCGGGCTCTCCTCCGCGACCTGCCCTTGGATCCTGCGCTTGGCGTCCTGCTTGTCCGCCTCGGTGATTTGAGCGTCGTCCTTGCGCATGTCAGGGGTCCATTGCGGTTCAGAGGGGGCGTGGCCGACCGACATGCCGACGCGGATCTGGTCTTGTTAGCAGTTGTTGTGAAACAAAGATGGTGGGTAAAACTCACCAAGGTCTCCAGCGCAGTATTCGAATTGTCCACCAAGTCATCATCAAACACCATCTTTCCACTCTCAAACAGCACCACCAGCGTCGACCCGCCAAACTTGAAGTAGCCCAGCTCATCACCCCTCTTAACCTCGTCCCCTTCCTTCTTTGTAATCACGGTGCTGCCCACCATCATGGCACCAATGCAAATCACCATTACCCGTCCGAATTCTGGGGAATCAATAGGCACGACAATCCTCACATTCTCGCCGTACACATCTAGCGCCGACCGAATAGCCATTGGGTTGACAGTGTAGTATTCACCTGCAATGGTCTTGGGTTCCCTCATAACACCATCCACGGGGATGTGGAATCTGTGGTAGTCTTGAGGCGCCAGTCTGAAAATACCCAGCGCGCCACCGGCTTCGTAGCGGTGGGCATCTTCAGGGCAGGCATCGCCTAGGAGACGCTTGACGCTGAATTCTCTACCCTTGATCCAGACCTTGGTGGCAATATCAACGCGGTTAAAGACCACGGATCTGCAATCGGCCGGAGAGACCACAATGCGCGGGTTGTTTGGTGCAGAAACTGGTCTGGCATCAGGCTTGAGAGCGCGGTAGAAAAACTCGTTGAAGTTCTTGAACTGGTCCAGAGGAAGCAACACCTCAGACAAGTCCAATCCGTGGAAGGCGATGAATTTGGGGATTTCGGCCTTGGAAGCAGGGTCGTCATATTTCTTGCCCTGCTTAATACTGAGAGACTTGAGCAGCTTGCGAATGCGCTTCTTCTCCATATTGTTGGACTTGAGACCCTTGTACAACAAGCGAATACCAAGACGGACGTAGACGCTCATCTTCTCTTCGTTGATCTGACCGGTGATGCGGTCTTGCACGAGGATGTTGGCAGAGTTGGCACCGAGCTTGTAACCACCGTAGGAGATCTTGGTGATCACCTTGGAGTACCACTTGCGCTGGGCCTGGCTGGACGTAACGAACCCACCCATCATCAGGTTGTTCACCTGTCGCCAGTCCTGGCTGGCACAGGTGGCAATATGGGTGATGATGTCTGCATCCTTGCGCTTGTTCAAGCGCGGTTGATGGCAGATGGGGCATTCGCGGATCTCTACCACATGTTCTTCGGTGTTGCTAGCATTGAGATCGTCCCGGTCGAGGTAATCGCCCTCTTCGCCTGGAGTCGCCAGCTCTGGAACAGTGATGCTGTCGGTTCCGCCAAGGTCAGACTCGCTCGGTGGCTGGACAGTATCGGGATGCGACTCCTTGCCGGGTATAGGCAGCAGGTTCTTGACCTTTTCGGCGGCATCTGGGAGAATATTCTTCACACGCTCCGCGACACCTGGAGTTCTGACCTTGGACTCAAGCTGGTCCTCCAGGCAGATGACGGCCTCATCCATGGTTAGGTCCTCGACGTCTTCATTATCACCCGCCTTATGGGGGAATCGGAGGAAGAAGCTGTCAATCGTCGACTCGCGCAGGGTCGATCCCAAAGAGTCCAACATGGTGGTCAACTCGACCTTGCTAATAAGTCCGCTCTCGTCGGCGTCGTACTGCTTCAACAGAGCTCTCCAGAACTGTTGCCTGAGTGCGGCGTAAGGCATGTACTTGGCACGGATGTACAGCTGTGGATTATGCTTGTCCTCCCACTTCTCAAGGTTCTTCATCCTGAGGGGAAGTGTGTAAGGGAAGAAATCCGGATCTTCAGTTTCCGGTGAGGCATTCTCAGCCGTGTTCGCGGCGGCCGCAGCGACACCGCCTTCCCCCGGCTGAACGAGTCCGGCGGGGATCGGAGCATTGATAGCGGGTGTTTGAGCGCCCTCAGGCACCTCATGAAGCTGTTGACCAGAGCCCAATGCCGGCGTTGCGACAAGAGAAGATACATTGGTCAAGGTTGACGGATTCTTGGACAATGCAGGCCTAGCTTGCTTGGACAAGCTCTGGGTAGAGTTGGTCCGGGAAAGACCCAGTCTCATAAAACGGGTCCTCTGCGCCGGAGCCGAAAACTCAGCTACCTCCTTCAAGTTGTACAGTCCAGTGGCGGGGTCCGCCTTTGGTGCCTTGGAGATGATTTCCTGTACCGGAAAGTTCACGGAGGCAATGAAATCGTTTCCAGAGTACTTGTCGTGGTCAATGACAGTAAAAGCAAACTGGTACTGCTGTTCGTGGTTCAACACCTGGAAGATCATCTTCTCGTTGAACACGGGATCCAGGTTGTGACGGATCGTCTTGGTCCGGTATGTCTTCTTGCCAAGCGAGGCAACCACAAAAGGATCCATGTCAAAGCTCGTCCTTGTAACGTTCGACTCCGGGGGAAGGTCGGTAATCTTGCAAATCTCCAGGAAAATAATACCAACCACGTCACTACCGCCGTTGATAAATTCGTAGGGGTTTTGCCTCTTTTTGCGCTTCAGCCCCTTGATCCGCAGTCTCCTCCTTCTCTTCTCGGCAGTTTCCGGCTTGGTAGGGTCCTCATCTTCGGGGGTCTCGTCCTCGTAGTCGTAGTCGTCGTCCTCATCGGCGTCGTCGGTTACTCTTCCCCCCAACGAAGGCGCCGGCGATGGCACCTTGCCCTTGGTCGGAGCAAGCACGGGGGTACGAGATGGAGTAGGGGTCAACGAGGCGTCGATTGCCGGAGCAGATTTAGCAATTGCAGCGAACTTCTCGTAGATCTGCTGGGGGCTGGCGTCCTTGTTGGAGGTGTCGAGCAGAGAGAACTGCAGCAAGACCTCGCCCGAAACAACGCCCGTCTTCTTCCCTGGACGCTTGCTCTTCAGCTTGTACCATGTTGGCGGCTGCTCGATCTTTTCATCGGCGAAGATCTCCTCCAGGGCAAGGTCAAACTCGCCCAAGTAGTCCTTCCCAAAGCGATCCTTATCCCAGCAGTTCACATCGAGGAGCAGGCTCTGAATGCCATTGATGGGGAGCTGGCATGTTTCGTTCCATTCTGGGTTCAGTTCTTCGACTCGGTATGTGTAATGTGCTTCGATTCGCCAAGATTGAGTACGAGATACTGGGCGGGAGTTGCAGCAATCAGCCACCAGTCACTTCCTCACGGGGGTAGAAGGGGGAGCACAATGTGGGATATCTGCAGCTCCTGTGAAATGGATACCGCACTCGATGTACTCACCGGATCCGACGTTCCTCCCCTGTCCTTGGCAGCGAGATCTTTGGCCTGGATTTTCAGCAAGTCAGTATGCGATGCTACTCCTTGGCACCACGAGGGCAGCGATGGTGGTGATGGTGGTGATGGTGATGGTGATGGTGTGTGGCCCTCATACCCGTAGAATCGATACCTGCACCAGCAGGCCCGTCTCCCTGCGGCCCTCTGGGCTGGCGGAATCTCCTTTGCTGCGCATAGGGCTGGCACTACGGCTGTTCGAAGCTGAGTTGGCGGCAGAGTTGGAGTAGCCCGGCTTCAGACGGTTGGGGATGAAGCGAGCCATTATGCTAAGAGGTGGGTGGGCTGGCGCGGGGTATGCGTGTCTTTTATCTACCTTGGCACGATCGTGTAGTAGGTAATCGTTCCAAGATTTATTTTGTTCTTGCAATTGACCCTCCAATCCAATCGAAGGAGGGCCCAATCAATTACGACGTAGGTTCCAAGAGTGCCACTCTCCAATGCTGTGCTGTGCTGTGCTGTGCTGTGCTGTGCTGTGCTGTGCTGTGCTGTTCTGTTGCTGTGTTTGGTGGGTGGTGGGTGGTGGGTGGTATGTAATGTTTAAAGCGTAGGGCAGACTCGCAGAGAGCAAGGCAGATCAAAACAGGATGGCTGGCTAGCTGGCTGTCCTTCCCCAGCTTTCCCCTTCTCTCTCTCTTCTTAGTTTCGAATCAGTGGCGATGATAGGGTGGGACATGTGCGGGTAGTGGTCCGTCGTCGCAACTTTGGTTGTTGTTTGATGGATCCCTCGATGTTCCCAGTAGCTGTAGTGCCCGCACAGTCGACGTCAGGGACCCGATGACCTGGGCGGGAGCAGATCAAAGAGGTACGGATAGAAAGCTTGGAGAAGAATGGAGCTGGGAAAACGACGAGGACGTCATCCACCTAGCAACAGGGAGACACGGGGCTTGGGGGCCCAGCTAGGTATTTGTGAATTTGGGCGGTGGAGCTGTGATGGCGGGGCGCTGGTGTGCTGGACGCGTCCCGGAGGATTGGCGATGCCGAGACCTGCCCAAAAGAACTTTGGACCCGTTCAGCTGCTGGGTCTAGGGGGCGGCGCTAGGCGAAATTGGGGAGTATCTTCAGCGGCTACCAAGCTGTTTTTGGCGGTGCCCGCAGTTGACGTTATGTGTGTCTTGGTCGACGAGATATGGCTGGATGGATGGTTTTTGGTTTGGGCTCAACAAAATGAAGGAAAAAACAGGTCAAGGCATCGGGGACGGGCTCGTGTATACTCATGTGTCGTCCGCAGCGAATGCTGTTGGGCGTACAGCCGTCAATCAGCATCTGTCCATTCTCATCAGGCAGGTGGGCCGTCATTCCAACACACCCTGATTGAGGCACCTTTCGTTTGAGATGAATGCTGCTTTTGGAGCTTTGGAGGACTGGCAGATTGGACCACGCGTCGCCCTCGGGTTGCTCCCCCCTTTTAAACGAGCGGGACCGGATATTGCAAAGCCTGATGCTGCGACCAACACAGTACATTTTTCTCAATCAAACACTCTGACCACATCCCGCATGCTGCCCGCATGAACGTGCCTGAAAGTGACGGCTTCAAACCTACACCACGCCTCCTGCAACTTTGCATCAGCCTGGCCCCAGCTGTGGCCGACTGGGGTTTGCGCAACCTGATCGATCGACCTCACAAAGAGTTTCCGAGGGCTCGGGAAAAGGCAGTGATGGTCTCGACCTCCCGGCAATCTGGGTCTCCTGCTCTGTCAGGAGATGCCTACGGGATTGGGTAGCTGTTGGAAACAAAGACACCGTCGCAGCGGTGACCTTCCCGTTCGTCCCAAGTGAGCCCTGGGGCTGGACACAGAAACCGCTCACCATGCCCATTGCGTATACCGTAGTAAAAGCCTCGTGGGGTATTTTTGGGTGCCAGCCTGCCAGCATGCCAGCCCTCGGGGGCTTTGAAACCACACTCTCACCAGTGGCGCAATAATATCTGATTTGTGAAGTCTTTTCTACGCCCCCTTTTCAGCGAGATATGCACTCACACACCCTCCACCAACAAGATAATAATCCGAGCTATCCGCACTCAAGATGACATTTCCATCCAATAGCAGCAACTATTCCATAGTCCAGTCAAATGCCATGCTGACCTAATTCCCATTACCTAACTTCTGTAACACACAAGTTAACCTACAGACACAAAATGATATCATACCAGCCCAGGCGGAACAACCGCTCCATCCATCTGCTGCTCCCCATTGTTAACAACACCGGCCCGATTCCCAGCAACATTTCCGTCACAAACCAGCTCACTAAAAGCCTCAGGCCACAAAAACACCCTCTCCTCCATGGGTGTCATGACGACATACCGCGGCACAGCATTCCGACTCGACACCTTCCTCCACATATCCGCCCTCGGGTTAAACCTCGCCGGCCTTCCCCTGCCGCCCGTCTTCCTCTCATCCTCCTCCAGAATCTCCTCCAGCATCATTTGAATATCAGCAAAGCTCCCAAACGGCAAATACTTGATACCATGCTCAACACAATACCCCTCCAACCTCAACCCCTTCCTCGCAAACAACACATCCGCCTCCCTCATTGCAGGCGAATCAGAGACCCCATCCCCAATAAACACAATCAACGGCACCTCCTCCTCCTCCACCTCCTCCTCAACCTCCCTCCTCGCCTCCATCATACTCAACCCCTTATCATGACCCAGCTGACTCCCCCCATGCCTCCAAACCGGCCTCCACTCCGACCCATCATGTGTAATCTCCGCCTCGTTAGCAACAATATCAATCATGGCCGATTGCTCCCCCCCAAAAAACTCATCCAGCACCCTTCTTCAAACCGGCTTCAGCCCAGCACTGATGACATGGAATGGGATCCCCTCCCTCAGATAAAACTGGTGAAATCCGGCAAACCCAGGGTCAATTCCTAGCTGTTGGGACATGAGCTCGAACCCGTCATCAAAAGGGACGTTCAAGCTCCCCCACATTTCTTCGACACGTCCTTGAGGGTGCGTTGCCCCGAGGCGATCTGGGCGTCGAGAAGCTCCCGCTTGGAGGGGCCGCACCCGTACGTGTTGAAGAGGATGTGGCCTGTGTCTTGGAGGGAGATTGTGCCGTCGAAGTCTGCTGGAGAGTTAGTGTTGGGTTTGGTAAATGGGGGAGGGGAGGAACAGGCCGGAGAAGCAGACAATCTTGCGCTTTTTGTTCGTGGCCGGGACTGCGTCACCTGCCTTGGAGGCTGGGGCTGGAGGAGGGGAGACAGCGGAGGGCATCTTGTTGGTGGTAAATCGAGAAAATTATTGACAGTGAGTTTGAAGGTAGGTGGGCCAAAAGTGAGAACAGCCATGAAGAGGAGCAAACATTGGAAGTATCCGGATATGCCCCCTCACAAACCAACCACCAGCTTGACTGGCCACCCGGAACCCCGGAGATCTCATCTCTGGCGCTTCCAATCGCTGGATAGCAGCTAACCTGGCAGCCGCGCGCGGGTTTGAGATGGGCCTAAGTTAGGAAAATGCCACGGGCCGAGAGCTACAGCGCGGGTTTCCCCCGTAACGCTTTCCATTGCCGACATTCTTGGGGCAGCTGACTCGCGGTATGGACAAACACCCGTGGAAGAAACGGCCTCGCTGCAAATGCAGGTACAAACTCGCGCGTTTTGCCTCTAGTCCTACTGCAGGAACCAAGCAGCATATTCTGGGCTGGACGAAAGTAGACAAATTTGGTAAATTATCTTCGTTCCTCTATATATCAGCTTTTTAGAGTCCTGTGTCCCTGTAATAATCAAAGTAAACCATGGAGTTTCAAGGAGGGCTGTGGGATATCATCAAATATTTCATAAACTCGCTCGTTTCAAAAAAGCACCAATCTACGCAGAGACCTTGGCACTGTACTTTGACGCCGCCTTGTCAAACAAATCACTCTTTTCCGCCAGGTCCACCAGGAGAGGGTGTTGAGCGTCTGTGGCTTCGAGAAGACTAAACACAAAGTCAGCATTGATACTGGTTTGGAAGTTGGGCTCCGGGACACATACGTCTTCTGCTCCGCACCATCCTTGCCGGCAATGACGTTCAGCACCAGAAGGTTGGCGATGGCCTCGGCGAACTTTGGCTCCTTTTTCAAGGCCTGGTCGAGAGCAGCTTGGGCCTCTTCTGTTCTGCCAAGGTGAAGCTCGGCAACGGCCTGGGAGACGAGGGACCGGACTGATGATGTAGCGGGTGCTTGCGCGAGCTCCTCAAAGACGTAGAAGGCTTGTTGGTACTTCTCACCGCCCTGCAGCAAACATATCAGTGTGTGACCCTTAGAAGGAAAATCCTGGGGTAGCACGAACCAGCCTCAACCCAACCCAAGACTCTGCCAAGTTCACCAACAAACTGTCCTGCGCCCACCGCCGCGCGGCGGTAACCTCCTTGACGGCAAGGTCATTTCTGTTTTGTTGCAGATGGATCTGCACAATAAGCGCAACGGCGTCCACTGTTCAACCACCACCTCGTCAGTTGTGTCCCTTCAGTCGTTTGCCTGCCGTAGACTAGATATAGAATGTAACCCACAGCTTCCCTGGTGTTGCGAAAGAAGCGCCAAAGCCTCCTCACTCTTGCCCGCAGCCTGCAATACTGTCCCGCCCACAACCTGTACTGTAGTGTTGTCGGCCGCTGACTCTGCGAGCTTCTCGATGATGCCAACCGCCTTGTCGCCGTTCCCAAGCGCTTGCTCGGCCAGGGCAGCGATGGCCTGCAACTCTGGCTCCTTCTCGCCCGTTACGTCGGCGAGGGCATCCTCGGCCTGGCCTAGAGCGATGCGAGCTCGCAGCTGGAGGACACGGGCGGGGAGCTCGTTCTCGGAGGACAGGGTGGAAACATCGTAGTCGACCACTTCTTGGTATTGTCCTTGGTGAAAGTGGTTGTGGATGTTGATGAGTTCGCCTTCGGCCGAGTAGGGATCCATTTTGGGCTTTGCTGTGTGGTTTTGGGCTGGGAGAAGGTGAAGTGAGTGGTGAAGCTGTTGTCAGTGGCCTCTTTCCCCTGTAGTTTAATTGACCCGACGTGGAGCTTTCCTGGGCGCGGTGGGATGCGCTGCGGAACAAACCGTTGCCAAGTAGGGGGTTGCTCCAGGGTTAGGGTCTGGATGGCCCACCTATGGTTCCCAGCGCTGAAAGCTTCCACTGAGAGCTTCACTTTGGCACTGGAGCTTGGGGCAGCTCAAGAAACAGGCGATCTAACGACATCGACACCGAGAAACTAAGCGATGTTCATCAGGGAGAGATCTAAACACAGTTTGATATCATCGTCGACGACCGATTATACAACATCTTGAAATGTCATAAAGCATTTGAACAATTCCGGCCGAGCATGGAACCTGGATTGACTTTGGCAAGCAGTTTACCAACATCACAGCATCGTTGGGCCATTTCTGGGTCGGAGATCAAACAAACATCATGCGCCAACTCCCACGACAATATCATTCCTTCTTATTATTACAACTTTGAATGAAGCTTTCCAACCTCGGCATCTGATCACTCACACCTTCACACTGAATACCAGCATCAACGAGCACCGCCATCGCCTCCTACTCGACATTGAGCTTTGGAAGCTCTGGTGTGAAGGAGCTTACATCGGGTCATCCTCACCATCACTGCCGTCCTTTCGGATAGTTCTTTGGCTCAAATGGCGGCGAGTGGTCTCTCAGCCACACCGTGAACTCCGACGGCGCCGGTTAGAAGGAATCATTCGATGCCTGGATCGCAACGGTTCAAGCAGGCGGTCATCTTAGCTAAGTATAATCCTCTTCATTATCGCGGAATTTACTCCACCGTTCGTCACAAAGCCTGGGTTGCACGACTTGGAAAGTTGAAACAGTTAGACTGTCATCATCATCCCTGCCGTCTCTCATTTCGTTGCTTGCCAACCAGTGCTCTCTCACTCCATCTCCCCCACACCGCATGAATCTGGCCCAACCCATCCAGTTGGCCAGGTCTTCGAATGGCCAACCCAAGATTCCCTTTTGTCCGCTTTCCTATCCTGGCGAGATGCCTCGACGAAAAGAGCTTCTTCAGGTTCGATCGCCATGCCGTGCACACGGCATGGATGATTCAAGTAGCTTTCTTCAACCTCACAAGCCCGATCAAAGGTTCAGTAAAACTTCTTCTCCAGATGCCGTACCATTTCTCTCAATTGTTGGTTGTTCGTTGAACGCTAGCGAGGGGTCGAAACATGAAACTGTTGCTTTCTCAAGGCTTCAAAACTCGCGATGAACCTCGACATGGGACTCCCATGCTTGGAAGAGGAGTCCTTCGGATATCACAACCGGACCCCTGTCAGGCAAGGTGCGGCAACACCTTGCTCTCTTCATTTGCTTTCGTCAGAAATTCTCCGTCCGATGTTCTTTTTCAGGACTGCAACCTTCCTTCTCACGTCTTTGGATGCTGGTGCTCGGACGTGCTATACTTGTCACCCGCTCTTGCAGCGAAGGGACGTATTGAAGTCGGCGGTTGGAAACACTTGCTTCCGCTGCAGAGACGGGAGCGATCCTATTTTTGTTGGACCTATCTAGGAAGTTATCAACAAGTGTTGATGATGAGTCTATGTACAAGACAAACAAGTTTTGAGCAACATATGCCGAATACAATTCCCATACCGGGCCAAGAGACATAAACAAGTCTGGATACACAAACCCCTTCTCACAAAAAAACTGGTGTTCATGTTTGATACTTTATCCGTCGTTTCTAAGTAACCCTCCCTGATTGGTGGATATGGAATCGAATCGTAGTGTGGTGGTTACATAGCGTGCCTTAATATAGCACCCCGGTCATGTCCCGTCTTGCCGCAAATGGTCCCCAGTGCCGACAGGGGGCCTTCTTCTGCCAAGGGGTTCTCGAGGAGTTCTTGGGATTCGGGTCTCAGAGTTCGGCCATGGCGGGGATCCCGCCCCTTCACCACCAGCCGCCCTATGACAGTGGTATCGTTCGGCGATGGCTTGGGCGCACCACGATGGAAGCATACAAAGGGTGGTCATGCCCCCCTGCTGCTCATCCTCGCCTCCGCCACAGCCGTTTGTTGCTCAAGGATTCTTACCTTGTCGCTCTCTCTCTTTCTCTCTTCACAAACCCAGGCACAGGTTGTCCAGTGTCATGAATATCTCTTGGGTACTCTCCAACTGTTGATGGATCCTTTCTAATCAAACTTTCTCTTCTCCGCTGCCGGCTTGTGTTCTTTCTTGGTTTCTTATGTGTTGTGCTTTTCCTTCTTTTTCTTCTCAGGGTCAGCATCTTATATTGCGGGACATGGAGATAACCATACCTCCACGAGACCATGGACCTTCGACTTTTCGATATGCGTGGGATGAGAACGGTGAGGTGACACAGATGACAAGGTAAGCTTGACTTTTCTGTTCGCAGTCCAGTCTTCGGACGAAACCTGTCTAACACACACATGTCTCCAGAGTACGAGAGGACCAGCCATCCCCACTAGTCACACCACGACCTATCCCAGGTCGACAAACTATTCAATGGCCCTTTCAGAGCATCGTTACCGAGACGGAAATCGCCTCCCCGACAACGACGACACACTTCCACCATCACCACCATTATCATCACAGACGGGCGACGACAGCTACGACTTGGCGACCATGGCTACAAAGGAGGAGAGATAGCGACGGGCACTCGATAGCGAGGAATTTGGTGCCAGATTACGTCGTCAACTACCTCCGAGGTGAGACACCAGAAACTGTGTCGAAGCGGAAGTATATCCACTATGGGGTGGGCAAAGAGGGGAAACGCCCACTGCCGGGGAGTTCGCATCGGCATCTCCAATCAAGAGCGGCCGAGTTTGGAGGATTTTACGATTCGGAGTCTTCAGAAGAGAGAGGGAGCGGTGACTCTGGTGGTGATCAAGAGCGCCTGGGTTTCGGCAACGAGAAACGGCGAGGAGGTGATGGCAGGGCGTTGAGGAATACTCTTCTTGTGGGGTGGAGGGCCGGGGTGGCTTTTAACACGCTGGTCGGGTTTGTGATTTTGATTGTGGGGTTCATCTGTCTGATACTGGCGATATCGAAGGCTTCATTGCTTGGAGGGGGTGGTGGGAGACTGGCGGTTTTCACGGGGAGTTGCGCGGCAACTACGAGGATTGACTGGGGATTGCATGCCGTTATTAACGTGTTTTGTGTGGTGTTATTGGCGGGGGCACATTATGTGTTTCAGGTGCTGAGCAGTCCGACGAGGGAAGAGGTCGATGAGGCTCATCGGAAATGGCAATGGTTGGATATCGGGGTGCCAAGCTTTCGAAATTTGAGGTTTATTGGGAGAGTGAGGGTGGTGCTGGCGGTTGTGGTTATGGGGGCGGCGGTTGTTACTCAGATAATGTGAGCTTTCCCGGAGACAACAGAGGGAGAAGAAGAGGCTAACAATCCACAGGTATAATGCGGTAATCTTCACTTCGCAAACAGCGCCTGACTTCAAGGCTGCTGTCGTTACGGATGCCTTCACTCGAGGCGCATCATTCAGCAACGCTACGGAAAACAACAATGGCGGACTGAGCCGACTCGAAATTCTCAGTCTTCAGCGGCAAGCAAGCAGCGACGGCATGGCCAATTTGACGAGATCCGACTGCTTCATTCAACTCGACCGCACCCTTGAGTCCGACCTATCAGCCATTCTGCTTGTTTCCAACATCAACTCGCCTTCTTCGCTTCTCCAAACCGCTGCAGGACCCCGGACCTCGCCTTTCAGCTCGATCGTGTCCGACCAGTCCACAATTCGTTACTGTCTCTCCGCTCCTCTTATTCAGCCAAAGACGTGCGAAGTCAACCTCAATGCCTCACTGCTGGGCGTTGTCGCCCTCCTCAACTCCTTTGCGCTGGTAGCAGGCGCCTCCATTCTCTTCAAGCACCACTCCCGCTTCTCGCCTCTATGCACCCTCGGTGATGCCATCAACTCCTTTCTCAGGGAGCCCGACACTGCCACCCAGCAGTCCGGCTCACTCCTGTCCAAGAAACAGGACGTCTTGACCGGCCGCTGGGGAGCGGGCATTAACGAGCCAGCCAAATATTACATTCCCACCCACCATTACTGGATCAAATCCGTTTCTTTCACCAACCTCACCACCTTTGTAGTGGTTTGGACGGTTATCGCCTCCTTGGTAATTGTTGCCCTGGCAACATCCGTCTGCCACGATCCAGAGCACCTCCTTACATCGTTTCCGTCAACTCTGCTCGGAGCGAAATCGCTGGTCATGTTTCCGGGGGGTATCCCACCTGCGGGCGCGGCTATCATTACTGCCCTCCCACAACTTGGGCTGGTACTTCTTTATCTCACGACGAACAGCATTCTTACGAGTTATCACTTATCCCACGAGTGCTCACTCTTCGCGGTCTCACCCCGCCCACTTAGACTTTCTTCGCCTTTTCCCCAGGGCCTTCAGACTAGCAGTTTATTTCTCACGCTGCCGCGCCCGCTCTCGTGGCTGCTTATTTTTGGTTTTGTCGCGCTGGGCTTTCTTCTCTCTCAATCATTCGTTTTGGTGTCGGTCACTACTGGTGACATGACCGCCAACGCTGTCGGCCTGAGCGGTGTCGGGCTGTTGGCTCTGCTCTCGCTGTTGCTCATTCTATTGTTGCTAGTCTTGGGGTTAGGGTTGCGAAAGGCCCCTCCTGCTGGTCTTCAGGGGTGGGAGCTGAAAGGGAACCCTATGGTGCTGGAAGGGGGGAGTTGCTCGGCTGTTGTTGCTGCTAGGTGTCATTATCATCAGTTTTTTGTGCCGGGGGGGAATGGGACGAGGGATGGGACTACGATTAGTGGGGGGGAGAGGAGGAGGGAGCAGAGTATTTGGAAGCAGGAGTTGATTTGGGGGGTTATTAAGCCGGGGGTTGGGATGGAGGTTGGGCTTTGTGGGTTCGGGAGGGGGGAGGCTCAGGATGGGGTGGGGAGGTTAGGGGTGGGGAGGTGTTATGCTTGATCTTTTGACTTTTTGGCGGAGGGTTTATTTGCTTTGTTTTGGGGATGGAGTTTAAAGCGGCCGGTTGCTGCTGGTTTTGGATTGGGATTATCTGGCCTAGAGCTGGGTAATGGGATTGGGTATGAAGACAAGAGCTGGAACTTGGACTTGCAGAAATGGAGGAATGAAAATGGACAGATACCCCGGAGGATTTCTGCTTATGAACAGAATTTTGACTAGTTGAACATAGATAGCAAATGAGAATGAGAACTCCCAGAGTTACATATCATCTCTTTGTTTCACTACTTTTGCATCTCCGTATGTTGAGATGCTGTGAGTGTTATGTTATTTTCTAGTACATGCAGCAGCCCTCCGCTACAGACGGCTTATTCAGAATCGAACCAATCCCCTTTCAAGCTCTGCTTTGTCAGTCCACGATTCGGAAAACTGTCGACAGCCAACAGTAGTCCGAGCCTATTACCGTTGGACGGCTGCACGTTTTCGGCAGCAAACCCCACCCAGTGACGCAACTCTCCTCCAGAAGCCGAAAGCAAGCGATCCTGGTGAGAGAGAATGCCCTGCCCCAGCACAGCCTCACGTCCAGTTTGGACATATTCCTTCAAGAAGCCCAACTGTCTCATCTTAATATCATCTCACACTCTAAACAAACAAAGTGGGGGGTCAATTGTCTTAGACGCTTACAACCGCACTTACATCAACTCACATGATAGCTTGAGATTACCTACTGAACACCTTCAATTTGACATACCACTTACACTGTGAGGATCAACTCGGCCGGACATCATGGACTCATTCAAATTCCTCAAACGTCGCACGACGGAGCTCTTCAACTCCCTCCCCTCATCACTCCCCGCCATCAAAAGCCCTACCTTTGGCAGCGGCAACAGCAACATCATGAGGGGCACCTGGGAAAAGCTTCAGCTCCCGCCTCTTCCGAGATCAGGCCACACAGCCGACATCGTCGACGGCACCGTCTACATCTTCGGCGGCGGCAACGACAACGACGTCCACACCATCACCCTTCCCGCAAGCGGAGCCCAAGCCGATTACTACACCATCAAGGCCAAACCCGTCAAATCCACCGCCCCTAAACCCAAAGACCCCAACCCCGACGTCCCTTCCATCTCCATTGAAGAAACCCCCAACGACGAGCCCCAAAACCTCTCCGACATTTCTCTCACCTCCCCTCCTCCCGGGTCAAAAGACAAGGGAAAATCCCCCGCCTCACCCACCTCTTCCCTCCCAGACATCCCCCCTCCCCGCAAAGGCCACGCCTCTGCCGTGATCGGTCACAGGATCTTCCTCTTCGGCGGTTCATCCCCCTCAACCCCCTCCCAACCCCTCAACGAATCCGGCCGCGTCTGGATCTTCGACACCCGCACCCACCTCTGGTCCTTCCTCGACCCAGCCCTAGCCACACCCGCCCATCCCTCCCCTAGGTTCAACCACGCAGCAGTATCAACCCCGAAACCAGACAACTTCTCCCCCTCTTCCCATCCTTCCGGCCATACCACATGGAAAGAATGGGCCTTAGGAACCGACACCACCAACCTCCACGAGCAGGGAATCCCCCAAGATCCCGTGGTGGGTTTCCTCGCGGAAAAAGCGCGTGATCTTGACTCTGAAGGTTACGGGACGTTTATCATTTCCGGTGGTACCCTGCCCTCAGGGGAGGCGTCAGATGAAACCTGGGCGTTTGACGTCCACTCTTCTACCTGGCAGCCTCTCCCTTCTTCCCTTTCCCCGGTGACAGGTGGGTGTAGTCTCGCGCTGGCAAAGAACAGGTTGTATAAGCTCGGCGGCGGGGAGGGTGGTGGTGGCGGTTCTGACAAGCTCACAATGGAGTATTTATCCCTCTCCCTTGACTCCTTCAACGATGTTGCTTCCGCGGGGGAGGAGGTGTTGGTTACGGCGAAGGGTGGCTGGAAACCTATTCTACCGGGGAAGGAGGATGTGGGGTATAAAACTCCGGACTTGACCGCCGTCCCTCTTGATGACGACGACGACGACAACAGTGCCAGTTTTTGGCCAGCAGCGAGGACGAACGCTTCGTTAAGTGTAGTGACGATTGGTGGTGTCAATGGAAGAGAGTATTTGTTGCTTGCGTTTGGGGAGGACGGGCAAGGTGGGAAGATGGATGATGTTTGGGCTTTTTTGACGCCAAAGTCGGGGCATGAAAAGGGGCGGCATGGGGTGACGGAGGGGAGTTTTGTCAAGGCGCAGGATGCGGTTTGGGATGGGGTGGGGGGGTTGCTTGGTGGTGGGAGGGATAGACACCAGGAGGGGAGGTGGTTTAGGGTTGAGATGGGGGTTGAGGATGAGGAGGATGATGATAGTTTGGATGGGCCCGGGGGGAGGGCACAAGCCGCGATGGCGAGTATTGGGGACTTGGACGAGAGTGGGGTTGTGATTTGGGGGGGTGTTGTTGGACAGGGGAATAGGGTGAAGGGGGATGGGTGGGTGATGAGGTTGAAGTGATTTTTGGTGTGCAGACCAGTTGGGTACACAGGACACTGGTTCGGACAAGATTCGGTTTTTATTTTACTGTCAGTGATGATTTTTTTTTTTTTTAGCAAGGCAGCTTCTGTTGGTGGAAGAAATAGTTCCTGCAGTGTCAGTTATTGAATGATTACGGGGCTCAATATCGAGCCACCCCCTTGGCATATTTGATTTTGACTTGTCATCATTCATAAGAACTGAAGTTCCAAAAAAACAATTCGTAATGTGACGATGGCGATCACAAGCATCGAAGCAAGCAATGTATTCAAGCCGTCCTATATACTCTTGACCCCCCCTTTCCAAGCTGCGAATGCCTGTCAACACTTTTTGTACACTCACCCCCTCGTCCCCCTCTATCATCATCACATCATATAATAAGCCCTGTTGTAGTGTGAAAACATCTAGTTTTGTAACCACATAAAATCAAACCACTCCCCCCTCTCTAAAAATTACAAATCCGACCTGGTAGTCTCCACCCCCCAAGGCTCACTCGTCAGGTTCGTCAGTCCCGCGCTATTCTCACAAGTGTCCCTCCCGCTCACAGGACCCGGCTTGGGCGCCTTGCTCGCATCGTTCAAGCTCTCCTTGAGCGCGGTGAGGAGCTGCTTGGTGGTCTCGGGAGTCAGGTCCTCGTAGTACTCGTCATTGATCTGGACCATGGGCGCGTTGACGCACGCCCCCAAACACTCGACCTCGATGAAGGTGAAGAGGCCGTCGGGGGTGGTCTCGCCTTGCTTGATGCCGAGGTGTTCCTTGATTGCCTTGACGATGGCGTCTGAGCCGCAGCCGCCGAGTTGGCAGGGGGTCTGTTATGTATAGTTAGAAATGGTTATTGATAGTGAAGGGGGGGACGTACGGTCGTGCAAGCCTGGACGTGAAACTTGCCCACGGGGGTTCGGTTGTACATGGTGTAGAAGCTGGCCACCTCGTAGACGCGCATGGGCGGCATCTCGAGGATGCGGGCGACCTCGTTCATGACCGAGATGGAGGTGAAGCCGTGCTGACGCTGGCCGAGGTCGAGGAGGGGCATGACGGCTGCTTTTTTGTACTGGGGGGGGTAGCGCTTGAGGATCTCGGTGATGATTTTCTCGTTTTGGTCGGTGAACTTGAAGGGGATGGAGGGGTTGTTGTCGGGGGTGTTGCGGTGCTTTTTTTTTTGAAGTTTAGTCTCCATTCAATATTTATAGCTTGGGGGAAGCGGGGGGGGGGGGAGACTCACCACCATGAGGGTGTCGCTTTGCCTCCTCGCCGACATGGAGATGGCGCGGGTCTGGAGTGGTGACGAGGAGGGGGCAGCCACCCTGCTCACGGAGCGGAGGGCTGTCCGCATGACGGGGGCCAGCTTGCTCGCCATTGCTGCAGTGGTGGACTAGAGGGGTGGTTGAGCAATGGACGGAGGTTGTGGTTGGAGGGGGTGGCCGGCGGCGACGTCGAGGGGGAGGTTATCTTCAGGTTTGGGTTCGTCGTCGTCAATCAATTGACGATTGGCAAGCTCCCCAGTCTTGCTGCTCAATGGCCCGGGACCCACCTTGCGTTGACAATTGGTGGGGTTTGATTGGGTGAAATCGGGGCTTGTGCGGTTTATTCAATTACCCGATTTTATAGCTGCGCTCGACCGTTTTATTCAGCATTGGAGCTCATGGAGCTCCAGCATCATTTTCCCTCGAGTTATGTGTAAACACCGTCTACTAATTCCGAAACCCTCTTTTTGCTCGTCAAAAATATCCTTTCAGACCAAAAACCACAATCGACTGGAGAACGATGTGAAGCTTCAAGGCCAAGAAGAATTTAGTCCTGAGGTATGCTGAGATGAAGCTTTGAGAGGCTCGCTCCCACCTTTGGTGCCCCTTTGGCCGAACAAGGCGTTCGCGATGACACGGCCAAGTCCAGGCAAGCTCATGCCCAGTCTCCGGCTGGGTTGCTGTCAGCCTTTTGGTTCTCGAAAACGTGGACGACTTGGTGTAATATCCGGCACAGTATGGCATCTATTCAATGCCTCCTCAGCCAAGCAGTCACCGACATTCCTTGTGTCCTCCTAACATAACCCTGAAAGGGGCTGTCTATTGACAGGCCAAGCAAGCGCTTTCAAGTGAACAGACGGCTGAGATTGATTACGTTTACAGTCTTCTTGAGACCGCCCAGACCTTTTCCATCTACTCTGTTATTGCCTTTCTCTTTTATCCAGCCCTATATATTCTGTCGGGCTCCAATTGTGCCCCCTTGTTTCGACATGCCGCCTTCAATCTATGTCAAGCCATGGCAGCCATGGCAAGCATGCCATCCGATATCAAGATGACACTAGACTCGACCAGCTGCGAGTGCGCGCCGGTGAGATTCCATGTATGGTTCGGGAGGCTTTCCGAACGAGTCCTCCTTTTTTGACATCACGGAATCTCTCAGCTTTGATTGCGACGGGGTGACGGCCTGCTGCTCTCACATGAGGGAGACACCCCCTTCCCGGGTTTGGGATGTTTTATTTATTACTTCCATCAATCGCAGTCAGTCAAACCGTATCGCTTAATGCAACGCGGTGGATGGGTTTTTCCGTCGGGCGGCAGCCATGGCTTCCGTGGTATTGCAGACGACCTTTGAATATCAGATCGACAACAACATGGCTGTGCCGGACCGGCCGTCAGAGATATCTTATTCGCCAGACGGCTCAACTGGGACAGTCTCCGTCTCGTTCCTATTTAGGACAGTGGTCATCCGGCCGTACTCTCTCGCAGTCCAGGTGACTTGGGCGGGATACTGCCTAAAGTCCGGAGCCAAGGGGCGGGTACGGCATTGAGACTGGCGAGTGCCATTGCGTGGCTGCCGTCCAACCCATTTACCGCGAAACGCGGAGCGCAATCTATCCCCAGTTTATCTGAATAGATTGACCTCCTGTTCAAGTCCGGGGCCCCGCGAAAATATCGACTACCGACACGGCCGGCCGCCTGTGCCTCTTCCCAGTCCATCGCTACCCAGCCATGGCCTTGGTTGGCTGGAATAGGGATGCCGTCATCTACAATTTAGGTGCACGTCTTGACATGTCCGGGACTTAGGAATTCGGTGCCTTTCTCGGGCGAACAGACGGGAGTAGGAGGCTCAAGAATGGCATAAATACAAAGGGGGCGACCGCTGGTAATCGAAAACCGTCCTAGAGTCACATCAAGGCAACCTACTTGACAAGTCCTGGACACTCAGCCCTGACTACACGCCACCATGAAGTTCTCCTTCATTGCCCTCCTGGCCTGCGGCCTCACGGTCGATGCTCACGCCATCTTCCAGGTATGTCAGCACCAGTCACCATCGAGGCAGGAGTCGTTTTCACGCTGACAATCAAGGCAGAAAATCTCAGTCAACGGACAAGATAAGGGTCAGCTCACTGGCATCCGTGCTCCCAACAACAACAACCCAGTACAGAATGTGAACGACCAGAACATGGCCTGCGGACAGCCCGGCTCCAAGTCCAACACGGTTGTCAACGTTAACGCTGGTGACCGTATCGGTGCCTACTTTGGGCATGTCATCGGCGGAGCCCAGTTCCCTAACGACCGAGACCATCCCATCGCTGCCTCTCACAAGGGTCCCGTCCAGGCTTACCTTGCCAAGGTCGACAATGCTGCTACTGCCAGCTCCAACGGCCAGAAGTGGTTCAAGATCTGGCACGAAGGCTTTGATCAAGGCAGCAGGAAGTGGGGTGTCGACACTGTCATTCAGAACCAAGGCTGGACGTATTTCAACATCCCGCAGTGCATCGCGCCGGGCCAATACCTCCTGCGCGTTGAGCTTTTGGCTCTCCACTCGGCCAACCAGCAAGGCCAGGCTCAGTTCTACAAGTCTTGCGCTCAGATCAACATTTCGGGCTCGGGCTCCTTCACTCCTTCTCAGACCGTCTCTTTCCCCGGTGCCTACCAGGCCAACCACCCCGGTATCCTCACCAGCATCTACGGTCTCACAGGCCAGCCCGACAACGGCGGCAAGCCGTACAGCATCCCGGGCCCTGCTCCCATCTCTTGCTAAGCTTTTGAGCCGCGGCTTGGCTTCTCCGGGGAAACAAACATGATCCTCGGCTTGTGGGGACGGGTGAAGAGGAGCCCCCCAAGTATCCAGCAAAAGATAATGGCGACTGGGTGGGTAGGTGGTTTGTGGGCAGATGTGTGTATCTATAGGTTATTATGAGACGGTCGTACATTGTGTGAGATATCCGCATGCATAAACAGCATCATGCATCATGGAGGAGCAAGCAGACACTACAATGATCCACAAGCCAACTGCAAGGTCCAATTCGTTTCCACAGTGACCTTTTCTCGCCTCGGCGCCTTTCTCGCAAGGCGAGGAAGCGGGCCTCCACAATGACATGGAAGCTTCGGATGCATCGCCATGCTTTTTCCATGCAAAATTGTCGGAAAAGCACGAGCCAAGTGGATGAAGTCCTGGGACCTGCAGGCGGGTTCTCCCGTAGGAAAATGTATGTACATGACATTGCTACCACTAGTCAGGGACAGTTCGGGTTTTCTCGGTATATTCTGATATTTGGGATCGACGGGCACCGGGTGATGTTTGCTGACTCTTGTCCATTTGTTGATGTGTTTCTTCTCACGGCCGGCACCTGTGAAAAGTGAACGGTTGGCGCCGCACAACGTGCATGACACCTGCAGGAAGCCAGCCAAACAGCTTCCAGCGAGGCTGATAGCATGCTACAGCCAAGAGATGCCATCTCACATCGGTAACCCCCCACTCAAGCAAGCATGGCAGCACAGCTTCACAGCTTCATTAGCTGTTGGGACATTCAGGACATTGGGCAGAGCAGAGCAGCCTTGCCGGTTCGATGAAGTGACAAACGCGAAGGCGCGATATCAAGGTTTTTTGTTTTTCTGATAAAAAGGATTGCGATAAGCGATTGGTTGTCGAGGTTGTGTCTCGTCACCGCTGGACGGTTGAATGCGGATTTCTTCACAGGGACAAGGTGATGACAGGGCAAAAGGTGATCAGTGCTCGATATGGCACCAAGCTTAGCTTGAGCTTGGACGCTGTTACCCCACTCCTCGGCAGCCACGGTGCCACCACAAGCAGGGAAGCCCGCCTTTGGATTGCGCCGCTCTCACCTCGTCAGCGCATCCTTTTTCTTCAACAACAATTCGCCCTTTCCCGCCTCTCTTCACCTCTTTCACTCTACTCTACCTCCCTCTTTCCACAAGGCCGCCCTTTCTGATTTCCTCCCGACCTCCAGGCATCAGCCCAACCAGTAAGTAGTTCTCAAACACATCTTTCGTCACTCAACATACCGGTCGATTTTACCGGCGCCGCCCGGTGGACACCGTTCAGACGCCCCGCGGTTCCCGTTCCGGTCAGTGCAGAAATGGGGTCTCGGGGTACATGCTCGCTGCATTCACCAAGCTGAGTCGTTCAGGGTGAGGTGCTTTTCGCCATAGCACCCTTGCCGAGCCGGGTGACCTCTCACCCTCTGCTGGAGTTTGCTCGAGCGGGTCATTGGACGAAACCGCCGAGTGGTGGCAGTCAAAATTCGCGCAGTGGGAAGACGAACCACCCACTCAGCCTTTTTGGGGGTGGGAGAGGGGTGTGTGAGCTGCCGTACCTCCGTGCCTCCGGTGGCCAAGCTTTATCGTTTCTGCCGCCGCGGGCTCCACCGGCGGTATTTTGTTTCCTTCCCTCCCACCCGCGAGAGAGCTTCCATCTTTCTCTTCTCCCTCTTTTTTCCTCTTCAACCTCACTCGACAACTCTGTTTCTTGCCCTGCGCAGCAGCAGACTGCCACCCCCTCAAATACCCCAATTGGCTCGTCGTCGTCAGAAAGAAAACGTCTTGTGTTGTTCACACCCTTCTACCTACTACCTACCCTACTTGCACCTCGTACCGCAACCTTAAACTGTAAGCAGTCTTTTGCTCGCCAATTGGTCCGACCGAGCACCTTTTTTTTTATACCAGTTTTCACATGCCCCGTTGTCAATGGCTCTGCGCCGAGTGGTGTTTTGAGTCCTTTTCGGAGTGTCTCAGTCGAGGGACCCGAGCTTTGGCAACATGACGGATGCCAAGCGATGTTTGGAGCGGCGTCGCAAACAACAACACGCGATCAATGCGACAATCTGATTTTATTCAAGACTTTCTGAGCTGCTCACTCGCATCAATTGTCTTGTTTCTTTCAATTGCCAGAACATCCTTTGCTAACAAAACGTCTCACAGCCTTAATAACTAAAATGGCCGCCATCAGCACCGTCGTCGCTCGCGACACCTATGCCGCCCTCTCCAAGCGCCAAAACTGGGCTGCCCAGGAGCCCGGTGTCATCACCGTCTTCTGCATCGTCGGCGTTGTCGGCATCGGTCTCATCTGCCTCTTCATCTACAAGAAGTTGGTCGCCCGCAGGGAAAGACGCCAGGCTGTTGTCTAAATGACACATCACCCTGACTCTGCTTTTAAATCACAGAGGCGTTGGAAGACGGGGAAGATGGAAGGGCGGGTTGGAATGAAGTAATGATTCTTTTAAAAGAAGAACGGTGGACAGGTTCATCTCATGGAAGGGAAGGGGGGATATGGGATTGGATCAATTGGAAGGATGAGAGATGGGATATTCTCTTGTCCTGAGGAGGAGCGGATTTGGGATTAAAGATCGATCGATCGATTTGCAACGATACCCTGCAATGTATTCTCGGCGTGCGTACCAGCAGCACAGCACAACACACAGCATCTTACATTTTTTGGCCTCGTAGCCAAATTTACTTCTTAATCAAGCATTCAAGCATGCTTTCCCCCCGATTTGTACGGATTGTTATTTTGGACTAGGGGAATGTGGTTGGCCGAGAAGCGAAAAGAAAACAAATGAATGGAGCTGGCAGATTGGGGGGGGAAGCAATTGCGGTTGATTTTGTCCTGAGCTGCAACAATCATCGGATCGATCGGGCCATTTACCTCTGGCGATATTCTTGCCGTGAGGGGATGATGAAAAACATCCCATCATGGTTGAATATCTGCCTTGATGGGGGGTGGTGATATTTCTCTGGAAAGGTTGGGCTGTTGGGGAGGTTTACCTGATGGCCTGGACTTTTATATGTTGATTTTACACTTTTTTTGTTTTCCTATTAAGGCTTAATATTAAAACTTGATACCTACCTGTTACTGTTGCACCTGTGATGTGATGGGCTGTTGATGTATGTCCATTGAGGCTCAAAAGGAATAGATTTGTCAGGAGCGTGTGTCACGCCGCTGGATGGTGTTGGGGAGTACCGTAGCATGGGAATAAGTCGATGCTGGGAATAACATAAACCAAGAGGGAAGAAATAACGCACACGACACACGACGCGCGACGGCACATAATCACTCATCATCTCACGGATATGTTGTAATGTTACACAGCATACCCTACCTAAAAACCTCTGAGCACAACCGGTTTCCCCTCTGCAGTCAGCCAGTCAGTCAGCAAAGGGTCCTCCTCTTCCATGTGAAGCTACAGAGTTGCCTCGCCCAGCAGCCGTTTCCCCGAGCGCCGCCAAGCAAAGGGGTTGGGAAAGCATATCGCGGCATGGCATGGCATGGCAGATCTTGGGAAAGCGGTCTGGGGTTGAGCGGTTGGGGGGTGGGGGCAAGCAGCAGTGGAAGTCTATTTCCGGGTTTTGTATCCGTAATCCTTTGCTTTCATGAGATAATCATGGTCGGGTCCTCAATTGTCCCTCTCCGGTTGAATGAGAGGGCTACATCAAGATGAATCAAATACCGATGTGTGAATACTGGCAGTCAAGAAAAACGAGGCTGCAAAATAGAGAGCCATCGACATACTTTGTCTCACCTGTCTCAGACTCATGCTGTAAACTCTCAATCGACAGCCATTCAAGAATCGTTTCACAATCAAGAGCACAATCACAGTCACCATCACGACACCAGTCAACATTCAGGAAACATCAGGGTTCCCCATTTTCTACCATAATACTATCTCGGATGCTCCAGCCTTCCCAACTCCGCTCTCCTTATGCATCACCGTTAAACCCAGTTTTAAACCCCCATCCCCATCCTAATGTCTATCAAGTGCCTTTTGATGTGCCGCTCAACATGACCAAGTTTTCAGAACCGAAGATTAAAGGTTAAGACTCGAGAAAGAAAAGAGCAAGGGTACTGAATCCCCTCAAAACACGCTCGAAGCCAAAGCAAAGGAGTTGCAAAGCTTAGAAGAGCTTGTGCTCAAGAGTCATGTCGGACTCGGGCTGGAGACCCAAGCAGCCGCGCATGATGTTGACGAGAGCGGAGCGCTGCTTGGCAAGGGCGTTGACAACGGGTGTGCCGGGAGGAGTCAAGGGAGCCTTGAGCATGTAGGAGAGGACAGAGAGAACGCTGTGGAAGCCCTCAAAGTCCTTGGTGGCGGCGCCGTCGGTGGAGACAGCCTTCCACCGGATACGGGTGAAGAGCTCGGTGATGAGGACCAAGTCGATGATCAAGGGGGAAGCGAGAAGGGAGTCCTCGCACACGTTGAAGAGCGAAATAGTCTGGTGACCGCCGAGGAAGATCTCAGCATAGTACTCATCAAGAGCACGCTTGTCGTCGCCGACAGCGGGCATGTACTTGATGACAACGGTGTGGTCGGGCTTCTCGCCGGGGGCGTAGAGAACGGTGTTGGCCTCCACCATGTCGTCAATGACGTTGGACTTGGAGATCTCCTTGGAGCGGAACTGTCTCTGCTCGCTCAGGTTCTTGCCGTCGTTGTTGCCGAGATGGTTGTAGCTGGCAACGGAGGTAAGCTTGATACCGGCGTTGATGAGGAAGTCGACGAGGGCCGACTTCATCTTGGTCTGGCCAGACTTGAAGTCATCACCACCGACGAAGGCCCTGTGGCGCTCGGCAAGCTCAATGGCACCGGGAACGAAGGTGTTCTGGGGGGAGCCGTTGATGAAGGGGGTGTTTTCGAGGATGCAAGCAACAGCGAAGACGGTGGAGGGAGAGACCTCCTCGTGGCCGTTCTCAATGGCCTTGAGGAGGTTGTCGGCAGTGTCGTTGACACCCTCAATGAGGTCAGCGAAACGCTCAGTGTTGGCGGTCCACTGGACGATGACACGGTCAAGGTTGTTGGCAGCCTTGAAGTCACTGTTCAATTCATGTTAGTCAAAATGCTTCTCAGAGCAGCTTCAAAAATGTGCAACGTACCGAATGTCCTGGCGGATCTTCTCAACGTGGGCCATGGAGGCCTTGGTGCCCTCGAGGATGTTGTCGGCACGCTTCTCCTGGTTGGCAGCAATGAAGTCGGGGTAGTAGATGCTAGGAAGGGGGACCATGGAGGCCATCTCCTTGGCAACCAGAGCCTTGAGGCCGGGCTCGAGAACCTGGGCGCGGTCCATAGCCTCGGCGAGGTTGAGCTTGCTGATGTCCCAGCCGCCGATGACAATGTCGTTGGGGTGGACCATGGGGAGGAGGTCGTGGAAGGGGATGTTGACATCCTTGCGGGTCTTGGCATCGGTGCCGAGCTTGATGGTAGAGCCCATGATCAGAGAGCCGTAGTAGTTGGCCTTCTGCTCACCGCGGCGGGTCTGCCAGGAGAGCCCGCGGCGGTTGGCAATGATGCCGGCGGTGACGGTGGAACCGTTGTTGCCGCCCCAGCCAACGAGCATCATACCCAGCTTGGGGACCTTGGTGTCGACATTGAAGTTGTACTGGGTCTCCTTGGGGACCGCAACATACTGGCCGTTAACCTCGGACACCTCGGTGGTGTGATAAGTGTACTTGGAGCGGATCTGGTTGTCGGTGTACTCGACGTTGGGGGAGTTGACCTTGAAGGTCACCTTCTGGTTGGTGGAGGAGGAAACGCCGCCAGAGTTGACAGGTCCATCACCGTTCGCGATCTCAGCGTGGGGAGCCATTGCTAAGGTTGGAGAGTTGTTGATTTTGCCTGGATGCTGAGAGTGAATTTATCGGGTAGAGATGTAATCCGCTGAGCTTCCTGGAGAGGCAGAACAACGGGCTCCGGCGTATGGGTGATGGACCCTTTTATACATGTTAGCAGAGGTTTGTGAGGAGGCAGCCGGAAGGGGGACGAGTTGAGGCATTCTCCGCCAAAGACCGTGATCTCAACAGAAGCGGCGGTTGAGGGAGCACGAAGAGATTGCCAGGTGGGCTACAACAAAGGGTATATCAGGGGCGTGGGGTCAGGGGACAAGGAGACAAGGGGGGGGGGGGTGGGGAGGAGCATGTGGTAGTGGTAGTGTAGGTAACGACATGGGACAACGGAGTCCAAAAGGACAGGTGTTGACGGTATGGCGGCATATGCGTCGAAGTTCGGAGGAGCAACACTTACGAGTTAAGAAGGTTGGAGAACGTTTTGACGGTGTCGTGATCGCGGCCCTGGAGCTGCGATCAACAAAGCTGAGATGGGAGCAACAAAAGGTTCGAAAGGGGGGGGGTAATGTCTCGAGTCAGACTCGAGGGAGTTGGCTTGTTTTGTTCACAAGGAAGTAGGCAAGACGAAGAGCGGAGGAGCACGAGACGACACAATCGTCCGACAGCAAGTGACAGGAAGGGCCTTCCTTTTTATGTTTGGGGAAAAGACCGGACGACGTGGGCGGTGAAAGAAACAAAATCCGCACTATAACCTTGGGGCTCCACGTTTCGGACAAGTCGGCCGTTCAAATCACCGTTCAATGGCGGGGGCCCGGGGTCCATCCATGAGTTGATCGGATGAATGCGTAGCGGCGGTCAATTGCTGCCGGGAAACATCGCGTGTACTTTTCCAAATCACAATCGAGACATATTTCCACGGTAGAGACACTGCGAGCTCAGAGCTTTGGGCATAGCGCCTGCAGATACCAAGAGATAAGGGCATGGGGAAGAGCTATGCGAGCAGCGAGCATCGAGCACAAGCAGCAAGCAGGACGCAGGCCGCACCGGCAATTTCCTGATCGAGAGAGAGCCTTCTCTGTGGATTGTCTGGCCGTTGGATGTCGCCAGAAAGTATAGAATGCACAACCTACCCACACAGCAAATAAAAAAAAGCTGCCCCGCCATCCCCGCTCTGCCACAGCACGGCAGCGGGAGGGCGGGGGGCATGTCTCGGCCCCCGATTTCGCTGATTGGTAGCGGGGGAGCGGCGGAGTTGACCCGTCCAACCCCAACACCTACCGACGCCGGGCGGCAGCAGGTCGCCCGAAGAACTGACACCGCCCGTGGCTTCAGTGCTGTGTTTTCGATGAGAGGAGAGTGAGGGTTTACTTCTTCAGTGGCTGCTGTCTCTGCAGGACGAGTATCCACTGTGAGCTGTCAAGCCAGTCAACAACAGCAAATTCATACCACCCGCGCCCGCTCCCGGCCCGGTTGGTTGATGTTGACGTTGGTAGTATCAGACTCGAGGCCGCAAGGGTACTCTCGCCGTTCGGTTTTAATTCGATCCGTACATAACATATGTCTGCTTCCAACTTCCAAATCTGTCACCGCGCAGCCGTATGGCTTTCATGGCTTGACTATACAGTTCGAGGCAAGGTATCATGATAAGCACTAAAAGCGGACAAATGTCGTTCTGTATCACGATATTCCACCTGTGTTGTTGTCCTGCAGTCTTGAGGGAGTTACCATTCACCAACGAACACGAGCCGGCAGGGGTATGTGAGACATGCAGCAAAAGTGATATCTGATTTTATTCTGGCAATAAGGTGATCCCTTGCCTCATCATTCGTCGACGCTCCCGAGCATTTATCAGGGAGACACAGCAGTCTCGGTCGGGCTGTCGTGTGTATAACCAAACACCGAGTTCTGGTTTGTTGGAGAAGATGCACCGTTTCCTGCCCACCGCTCTTCTCGGGAACGGTGCCGTATATGGCAGCTCATCGATGCGGCTAAGATGCTTGTAAACCATCCAATCTTGAACTTCCCAGAGGGTGGAACTGCCGTCTTCAACGTGTTTCCTGTAGTTTAGCATTGCGGCAGTGTGCTGTGCCCTGAGACGCGAGATCCCCTGAAGACTGTGGGGAAACCTCGAAACGAAACCTACCAAGACCCTCGACCTGGCATGCTCGATCCTGGTAACTCACTGAAGATCAGTCTTTTGCTGGCAACGATTGACTGATCATTACTGAGAGTTGGAGAAGAGCAGAGAGGAGCGACGTGGTTAGTGTACCCCACGCCTGTGCCGAACTGCTCCGTCTCCAGGGTGCTCGTTCCGTGCGAGCTCTACTACAAGAGTACCTGCTCGAGAAGGCTGGGCCGGAAATGCTTCTCTGTGGCTGCTTGTGAGTCGTCTTCAGTAGACATATACTATCATGACTGCGGGAGAGTTTACTCGTTGTCACCCCACTGACGTGATGAGAAACCCTTCAGTCATTCCCATAGGCCCAGCCTTGAGCCTCCGCAGCTGCAAATCAATAAGGAAGGGTTGACGTGCAGCTTCTTAGTGATGAGGTGCTGGTCAACAGTGGCTTGCTGCATCGATGCATTGTCGATGCGAGGCAGGCTCAGGCAGGACGACGAATCCGGCCAGTTGTGTGCAACCAACATGAGATCCTCGACGTGGGGTTGACAGTTTGCAGAGGTGCCATAGGTTGCTCTTCCCGCACCACCCCAACTATTTGTTTCGCTCCAGTCAAAAAGAGGTTCTTACCTGCAAGATCGATGAACAGCATTGAGGGCTGTGTGGACCACAAGCAAGCCGGCGGCTGGCACGGGAAGCCGTCATAATCTCTCCATGGTTTTCGTGCTGTTCCGAGGCACCTAGGCGATGCTTGCTTTTGATCATCCCGCCCTCGTCTATCCTGACACACCAAGTCGGCCTCTAAACGGGCTGTCAAGGCGAGCGAATCTGATTTACCGCCGCATGGCAAGGTCAGGAAATGGCCCGGACCAGTCGTTCGACCTTCACCTCCCACACTCTGGACGAGGCGGGGTAACCATACACACAGTGCAACCGCCAGACTGCCCTACACTCAAAGTCGTCAGCCGATACTCTCGGCGCCATGTCTCCAATCTTATTGGATATGCAGGGTATGAAACTCGCCCTATAGGTATATACCTCTGTATAGATGAATATCGGAGGTGAGGGCAGGTCGTCGTCAGGGCCGGGAGACCGAAAGGGAAAATGTGGAGGTCTTTCTGGAAGAGCACCCCAGACAATGGTTCATTTTTCTCGGCAACAGCCTTTTCTCCAGACAGATGCGCCTCTCAGGGCTCGGCAGGGGGGGCAAAGCAGTGCGGAACGATGGCTCGGCAGGGCGCGGGTTGCTTGCTTTTTCGATGCGTCCAATGATTCGGCACATCGGGCGCGTCAGGAAGGCGATCAATCTTGGGCTCGCTGGCCCCGGCAGCCATTCAGCCGCCTTAGACGGCCTTGTTCGATTTTCAGCGAGATGAGAACCGTGAAAAGCCGGAATTGTCGCGAGTTGTTGGCAGAGGTGGCAAGCAATGCCAACTGATGAGGGTCAGATGCGGTGTGAACGCATTGGCAGGAACACTCTTCTGTGCCTGAAGGCTGCATTCGGGTCACTGGACCGAGCGGTGAGGCCGCTTGGCGTGGAGAGAAGGTTGCAGTGATGCATCGCCGTCTCTCGGAAGAGGGGAGAAAGCCATAGCGAGTATCAGAAAATATCGCAGCGATCGAGGGTGGGAAGAGGGTATTGGGGCCAAGAGGATGCTGAGACGCGGGAATGTGTTGCTGGTTCAACTGAAAAAAAAGTGTCAAACAAGTCATTCATGCTGGATTCCTTCATGAATCCCGTCATCCTTGATCGATCCTGGTGAGTATGATTAGTCTCTAAACGCACCAATTGGGAGCTGTGGTGAATGTACATAGCTTACTGCTGGTGATAGGTGAGGTCTAAGACAGAAAGCCACTGGTAGTTGGTTCAAGAGAAAAGTGGGCCCCTCGAGATTACAACAAGCCACTTTGAGGGTTTGTTTGGCGCGCCGTTGATGTTTGGTGGACGGGTCATGTTTGATGCTAGAGCTTGCCTCAAGGTGAAGGTGGCATCGCGGATCTGGGCCACGGGCAGCATGAAAAGACCCCGAAATGATCTCCGATAATTTTGAAGTCGTGCGTCGGGTTGACTGGATGCAACACACCCTTTTGTCACTCGTCCTTGTGTCACCACCCTTGCCTGCCGGAACTGCTGCTGATGGTCAGAACTCAGAAGCTTCTCCTTCACCGTGCATGATGGGCGTTGGTGATAGCCGTTTTGGGAACAAGGTGAGCTGGCACAGCGCGGGTAGGTAGAGATAGATGGAGATAGCAGAGAGATGGCAGAGACTGTCTGTAGTGAGAACGTGTGAGTGAGGTTCAACAGTCAGGGGGCCTGGCCTCGTCCATTTTGATTTCCGCCCCATCTTGTGGCCATCGCGCACATCCCGGTCGGCTTCAATCAGAAGTCGTCGATAATTGCGGAGGCGCTCGGGCCTAGAACCCACTGCGAACGAGGGTTCCCTGGGTGGCTGCCGAGGGCCCGACCTGAGACCCTTTTTGGTCTCTTCGTCTCGACAGGGAAGGCCGGGGTGAGCAGGGCCAGGGTCGCGGTCACCGTGTCTCCCGCCCACGCAACTGCCAGCGCCCGCGATTCTTCAACTCTCTCCCTCTTCTGCATCCCTTCCATGCCGTCAAACCGCCAGACTCGACCCCCGAGACACGATCCGCAACGCACTCGTCCATCGCCTCCCCAACAGATCGCTCATTCCGTGCATTTCGGCAAGTTTGCCCTGTGCATAGCCCTGACGAGCTTGGCATCCCTCGGGCCTCTTGTGTTTGCCTGCTTGCGAGAGCCGGTCCCTGTCTTGTAAAACCAGATCAGATCCCTCCCGCTGCACCTCATCATCCTGAACATATTAACGATTGCTGGAAACAATTGATAACCTGGAACCACCACCACTTCGACCCCGGACCTAATCTCGACGACAACTACGGATACTCCGAACTTCCCTGTCTATCTCGACTACCGTGCTGCTGTTATCACACTCATCACTATATATATATATACCTACATAAAGGCATTCGCCGGGTTCAGGACGCGTGGACTGGGGAACCCGGCGGATCTGGATAGCTTCTCCGGACAGTTCGAGACTTCCCCGCAAAGCCGGAGACCGAGACGCGCCTTCGATTCCCATGTTTTCAGTCGGACGACACACCAGTGACTTGCAGGAAACGACGCTGATTTGGGAATGGCCACCGTGGGAAGAGAGGTCGAGCTTCATGCCGACTGTGAAATGATCGTCATGATGGCTTACAAGTTTGAGAATCTCCCTGATGGGAGAACATGAATGTTCGGGGCCGCCGGCGGTGGAAGGTAGGCGGTTGATTCCGTTTGTTCACCCCGACAACTTGCTGACCATGCATTCAGAAACACCGCCGATGCCCGCCCCATCACTTTTTGAAAGATTTAACCCGTGGGGTGCTCCTGCTGCGCCAAAGGACCAGTCTCGGGCACCCCCTCAAGTGGACACCTCTGCTGCCAGTACGCTTGATGCATCTCGAACCATGGCAAATGCTGACGATGGTTCAGATCGTGCCTACGCAGGACAAGGCCAGTTGACGCCAGTGAGTTCACTGTCGAGTGGATCACAACCGAGCGAGCAGAACATCTCGCCCAAAACACCAAATGCTAGACCTGCCACTGACAAGCCGGACGAATTCTTTGCTCCTCAAATTGCCAATGATTCGCCTCCCCCTCAACCAACAAGGAGATCAGGGGGTTATGGGGGGTTGGGTAACGGGACTGATTTCGACGACCAGCTGCCGCCATCAAACCCAGCAAGGAAACAATCACCACCGAATCTAATGGAACGCCTGAATTCCATCGCTCCCGGGCCGTTTGATGCCAACAGAAGGCCTTCGAGCAGTGCTCGTAGCGATATAAACGATCGTCCCGGTACTTCAGCTTCCAACCTTGGTAGCTTGGGTGGAGGACAGGCACAACCCAGCCTGAGAAAGAACGGCTATGGGGGTTTTGGCGTTCCTGCGAGGAGTCCGAGTCGGCAGGAAGACAATCCTCCGCCATTGACACCCAGTCGCGCCGATACATTTCCTCGTCCGAATGAAGGCTTTCCGCCACCCCAGCGAACACCTTCTGCGCCACCCGCGGCCTTGAGAATTCAGCCGCCAGACAGATTACGTGCCCCATCAGAGTCTTTTTCAGACAGAGATGGCGGGACATCGCCAGACAGCCGAGGGTCCATGATGAGCGACAGACCTCGCCGTCCCAGCCGTGGGCCAGACACTTCGAGACCTCCACCTCCTCGCAGTGCTACACTCCGACCCACTACCCCTGGTCTCCCAACTATCAACCTTGCTGAGGAGTTCGGCGTTGGGAATCCTTACCATACGCCTTCGGAATCGACAGGATCAAGCGTGTCTGTTCACAGCATGTCGGTACAGAGCGTGTCAGCCCAGAGCAGTTTTGAGCGTCGCCCTAGCCAAGCGAGCTCCCGAACTAGCCCACCCAGGTCCATAGCATCGAGATCTGGACGGAGGAAGCCTTCTGACACATCTAGTTTTGATAACTTGATGTCGGATCTTCAGTCTACAATGGACGATAATCAGCAGAAACCGCCAGGTCCTGCCTCTCTCAAAATGCCATACAAGGGAGGTAGAGATCGGCCATCGCCACTAAGCGCTCGTCCGCCACCGCCAGAGGGAGGATATGATCCACGCATCGACCCGCGTGGTCAGCGACGAGCAGCAGGAGGATCCCCTCTTCCCTCTCCGTTGGAGATCTCGCCGCTTGGCGAAAGCCCTGCCATTATGACACCTAGCATCTTGACACCTGGATCTGGAGCTCAGCCATCTCCAGGCTGGCCGACCCCGAAACCGGAACCAGCTCGACCTCGTGAACAGGAGCCGCCTGTACCGCAACAATCAGCGTTGAGAGAGCTGCAGGGAGCGTCTCCCATGGACAGGTCACAAGGTCCGCAACGAGCACCGCCGATGGAAGCACCAAGAGAGCTTCAAAGGGCACCCACGATGGAAGCGTCAAAGGAGACCCAGAGGCCACCCGTGGAGCCTTTTCGACCTCAGCTCCAAAGAGCACCAACAATGGAGGTCCCGAGACAACTCCAGAGAGCCGCCACGATGGACGAGCCAAGGGACATGCAAAGACAAGATCCCAGCAGAACTCCGCAACGACCTCGAGACCCCCGTGACGAGCTTCGCGACGGCAGACCTCTCCACGAACGATCCCGCTCGCAACCTCGCAACTTGCCTCCTCCCTCGGCCCAGCCTTCCCGCGGCGACTGCAAGGCATGCGGGCTGCCAATCAAGGGGAAATCGATTTCCAGCGCCGACGGCCGTCTCACCGGGCGCTATCACAAGCCGTGCTTCGTCTGCTCGACCTGCCAGGAACCATTCACGTCAGCGACGTTTTACGTCTTGAACGACAGACCCTACTGCGAGCAACACTACCACAAGCTCAACGGCAGCTTGTGCGGGAGTTGCGGCCGAGGCATCGAGGGGGAGTATCTCGAGGATGAGACTTCTCGCAAACACCACGTCGGATGCTTCAAGTGCGGCGACTGCGGCATGGCGCTTCGTGATGGGTACTTTGAGGTCAACGGCAGGGCGTTTTGCGAAAAGGACGCCTGGAGGCGGGTGCAGCAGCCTCCTCCTCCGCCTATGATGATGGGCGGCGGCAGGGGAATGGGTGGTCCTCCCGGACGAGGAAGAGGGGGCATGAGGCCGCCGGGACCGATGGGGCTGCCGGGGGCGAATCCGAGGTTTGGGCCGAACGGTCCGTATGGGAATAGTCGACTTGGACCGGGACCGAGACCGAAGATGGAGAAGAGGATGACGAGGTTGGGGATGCTGTAGGGGTTACAGTTGAACGGTTATCTATCTGATCACGCCGAACCGAACCTCCCTTCCCCGGTTAATATTAATTCGACATTTTCGACAATTCTTGACGCTGAGCTAATAACATGAGATAACGGCTTGACGTCTGACACTTTTTTTTTCTTTGTTTACGGAAACTCATAGACTGAGGAACTTTTTTTTCTTGTTGGATTCGGCTTTTTATACCCCCCCCCTTATTGTGGATTTGGCTTCGTATATATATATATATATACCCACCGGGATATTCTGGACAGGTTGTTGTTGTCCTTTTTTATCCTTTTTTTATTTTTTATGATACGATAATTTCAGGCTGGCCAACAGCATATTTGGATGGAATATTTTTGGACTGGTGGATGGATGGATGGGTGGATTAGGGTCTGGGATAGGGAGGGGAGGGAACAGAGGGGGAGTTGTGGAAAATGCATTTGGTGGTGGAAGGATGGGATTTCTGGGGATGGGGAGGGGACATGATTGTGTTGCACGGGTTGGGGGGTTCCTGATGTAAGGGCCCGGTGATTGCTTGAATTTGACGTGGTGATACGCGACGGGTGTGATGGATGGATGGACGGGCGGTTACATGAGATATTGAAGGGGGTTTGATGTTGGGATATGCTGTGCGTCGTCATGTCATGGTGATGTGTACAGGCAGGCAGGCAGGCGGGGAGATAGCTGAGATTTTGGAAAAGAGACAATTTTTAGTTGCTAATATATGGAAGACATATTGACCGTTCCTGTTCGCTTTTTGGGGTGATATCGAGGAGGTTTGATGACGGCATGGGGGTGTGAAAAGGTCTGTCTATCTATGCAAAACTCATCTGGCATGTTGCGTATCAGATTCCCGTGGACGGGTAGATGGACTTTCAGACAGATGCACTCCGATTGGGGTTATGATGTGGTGGTCGGTACCTACCCGGCAAAGATGGCCGATGAGAAATGATACAACGATACTGTGGGTGTGTTTTCCATTCCAGATAGTTTGCTTGTTTCAAGTTGGGTCATGGTGTTCCACTGTCTCGGGATAATACCGAGAGCTTGTACTCCGGACTTTGATGGCGAATATGGCCACGACTGTCTGGAGCCCGGGAGGACGTTTGAGCAATGATGGAAGTACCGAACGTTTTGCTGGCTTTTTTGGGGGGGGGAGGAATTGCTCCTGTTGTTTTGCGGGATATATATGGGATTAGAGAAGGAAGTTGGTGTAATGTAGCTCTGCAAGAGATCACTCGTCCTTCAGGTGCCTTGGGGATGGTTCAAGTGCTAGAAATGCGGTTGGATAGGTATTCGCTAGTTACAAAAGGTTGTGGTGTTTATGGGTAAGTTCACGTAGGTAGCCGGTGTCCCATCTTCTAGATCTATGGTTTCTGAAGGAGAATCCCCAGGTTAGTAAGTAGGGTAGGTGGGTACTCGGTCATCCTTTCATTTTCGAGGCTTGCCGACTGGGACTTTTGCCTAGAGTTCAAAGAAGATTGTCCGAAAAGGAACGCCAACAGATTCGATCCGGGTCGGTTTATGTCTGGGATGAGAGGGAAGCTGGCATGCGGAGGTGGACTGATGGAAAGTCATGGAGCGCCAGCCGTGTGTCTGGGAGTTTTTTAACATACCGCGAGATGGAAGGCAAGCGACGGAATGGTTTTGGGAACTCGAGGAGGGGGCTGGGAGAACTCCGGATTCTTGTCGTGGCAGTGATGAGGATCAGGATGATGGGGAGCCAGACAGTTTGGCGGCTGGTATAGATCATACCATCAGTGCTGCTAAGGAATCGAGGCTCTCTCCAACTTCCGCGAGGCCAGCCCGCTCAATGTGTACCCAATCTCCACCGCCCATCCCACAACACCGTTTATACACAGCTCGCAGAACCTCCGAATAGAGTTTAATCACCCCCTTCTTGAAACTGACGATAGCCGATCTCCGATTTGTTTTGACAAGCATTATTTCACTCAATCACCTCCGGGGAAACCACAACCGAAATTATCATCCTCTACACCGTCTCCTCCTCCACAAAAATCCGTTGTTCCCTTAATGCGCGCTAGAAACTCGCTTCGAAACGTTTACGCCAGGGGGGGCGAACGGACGCCCGTTGCCAAGTTTCGCTGGGCTTTTTCTTTTTTTTCTTTTTTCTTACTGGTTTTCCGCCACAGAGATCTTGTGGACGATGAAAAATCGTCCCCTATTGATAATGATTGGCGTTGGGGGGAAAATGATGTGCACAATCTCAGGTGACACTGCGTCGTCGATTCCCTGTGGCTTGCCGGCTGGGTAAAATAGGAGAGAGTCCTTTACGATCGACAGAAACTCGAGGGATCATTATATGATTTGGCCTAGAAAAGATAAAGAATCAACTTAACCAAACCTGTGTCCCTGACGATCATTGCTTGTTTGGCAGGTTATTGTATTTACGGGTTGTATGCAAGATAAGATTTCTAATCAGCCGGCAGAGAGGACAAAAAAAGGCTTGTTTGGATTTGGCATTGGAGTTGGAGTGGGAGTTTGGGACTTTGGTTAGGTGGGTTGCAATAGACTAAACCAAAGCGCCAGAAACAAAAGTTTCATTTCCCTCGGCGGTACTCGTTGAATTATTGACACCAAAAGAACGGTTCTTCTGCAAAGGACGACAGCTGAGCCGGTGCGGTCTCCGGTGTGATGTTACCATGCTAGATTAGGTGTAGATATTGTGCCGTAGAGCACGACGCTGCGGCGTGGGAGGTGATTGGTTGGGTCAGGACACAGGTCTGCGTAACCTCAGTTGGTGATGGGAATCGTGGGGATAGATTTGAAGGATCAATAGGCAGGCAAGGCTCACTGGAGCAAAGGGTCTTCGTCGTCGTCGTCAAAGTGAAGCCATCGTGGGCTTGAATGGTGAAATGGCAAGCCCATGCGAGGAGGGCCGGGATGCAGGTGGCTTGTGGGACGAACTGGTGGCTTGGTGGCTTCGATTCGAGGTGCATCACACACAATTGTGACTGTCTCTCGTGTCCGCCGAGTCTCACACTTACTTCGTGTTCCCCGTCATGATGTGGTATTTTGTGCCTGGAGGTGCAGAGACGGATTACTGGACTTGGATATATCATGAGGGCGTCTGACGTTCTGTGTGAACATGGTATAATGAGGATTCAAATCTTACGTACTTGAGCTCTCGATGTTGCGGTTGGTTCTCTGTGACAGGTCTAGACTCTGGGCTAGCAAATCCCCTGCTCGGGGTAGCGCTGCTCGGTTGGGTGGCCGTTGGCGTCATTTCCGCACCCCTGTCTCATCTTATCAGTGCATGCAGCGGCCACAAGTCGTTACCTACACGTGCTACCTCTTGAAAAGAAGAGAACTTGAAGTGTTACGTGTCCGAGGCGGTGGGATCAGGTTTGTCTCCCTCGTGAGAGGGCGATCGTTATCCATCGTGCGACAGCCACGAAGAAAAGAGCGGGTATCTCTGCTGCGATAACCCAGGAAAAGGCGGTCGATCTGTCAAACGATTCCATGTTGAACCAGAAACAGAAACAGTCCCCTAATTCGGAAGTGGGCCTGGGCTGCATTGGCCCTGTCGTGCGCTAAGCTTTCTCCACTCCCTGCAGAAATCTTCAGGGGCTTTCCCTTGTTTATCGAAAGTCGAGAAGGGGGCAAACGACAGGTCGGACCGCGCTGCCCCCACGGACCAGACCGGCCGAAAGATACAAGCTCTTGTCATGCCTCGTTCTGTGTGACCTGTGAATGTCTCGTCTTTTTTGCTCTACCTTGATTGAAGTACTTCTGTTCTACACAGAACGTTGTCGAAACGTTTCCCGTTATCGCACCAGAAAAAGCGTTGGCTTCTTCGTGCTTGTGCACCGAAAACGCACGTAGGACTCTGGGCTTTTTTTTCTTCTGGCGCTGAGGCGTGCCGCTCTCAACTTAACCTCCGCTTCTCCCTTTTTATCGTCAATTTGCCTAATATCAGCTACGGTGTGGGTGGCCGCCAGTCTTTACTGCCTTCCTTTTTATCCCCCAATCGGCAATCGCGATCCAGTATCGTGATCTCAGCTGCACTCTCCTGGTTTCTGCGACCGACTGCCAACGGTAGTCCCCTCCAAGGTCGACCGACCGACTGAGTCGAACATCGCGACTTCGTTTTCCATTCTCTAGGCCGCAGACAGGACAGCATCGTACCGAAATGCCCGTATAGCGCCGATCGTTTTACACACCTACATTCGTTTCACGTTTCCCGACCACATCGCGGCGTTGACCACCACCATACCAAAATCGAAATGTTGACAAAAACACACATTCGCCGAGTGCTTACTCGGCCAAAAACTTATATCCCGGCTCTTGCGGTGTTTGTTCTCTGCTGGATCCTGCTGGCGCACCACGGTGGCTATAGAGTGGTTCCTTTCTACGACCGTCCAGTCAACACTGAGCGCGACCCAGGTACGGATTGAGTTCTCCGGACGGATACTGGCGTTTGCTGACCACAAAATAGATGAGCGCAAGGAGCTTGCGTTGCAAGCGCAAAGACAACTGTTCGAGAAAGACTGGCGCGATCTGGAAAAGTAAGTGACACCCTGGAAAGCCATTTCACCATCTGCTTGACGCTAACGTTCGTCTTCTAGGAAACCTGGACTAGGCGCCGTATATGGCAACACCTTGAACAGCCTTACCGACCGGGACACCAGAAAGCCATCGCACGAGGCCAAGCTGACCCTGGGTGACAACTCCACCTCCTTCACCAAGGAACGTCCCGCTATCTACAACCCATATCCCAAGTACAACTCAAAGGAATGGTTGGCCACCCATGCCCTGTATGTGCCTTGCATTGGAGCCACGGGAGACGAAGTCGAGGATATCAAAGTCTTCAGGGGCCGCCCGCGCAACTTCCCCGACCCCGGCTTTGGAAGCTACAGCACGCTTGGACTTGACCGCAACCTTTGCTTCGAAAGAGAGACTCGGATGGGCCAGTACGGAGTAAACCCGGTGATGGATAAGGACGGCCAGCCGGTCAACTGGGACAAGGTCAACTGGGGCGAGTTGCAATCCAAATGTGTTGATCAGAATCAGGCACGTTTTGCCACGAGCGGTCCGCCGAACGCCTATGTCGACGAGGAGGAGGACAGCGAGCCTTCCCCCGACCTGAAAAAGTACGACGAGTCTGCCGAGAAGCAGACGCCCAAGGACCTGTTGGCTACATTCAGACGGTTCTGGCGTGGTCCGGATGCCCGCCCGCTTCGCTCAAGATCGATTAAGGGCGTCTTCGAGAACAAGCGCGCGTACAATTCGACCGTCAAGGCCAGAGAGGCCAGAACCGCCATTCTGCTGCGATCCTACACCGGAAAGGAGTACAATGATAACGACAAACAAGCCATTCGGTCGCTCATTACAGAGCTCAGCCTGCGAACTGGTGGAGAGTATCAGGTTTTCTTGTTTGTGCATTACAGAGAAGACGAGTTCGATATCTGGGCTAGCGAGGACCTGTACCGTCAAGCGATTGAGAAGCACGTTCCCGAGGAGCTCCGCAGCATCACCATTCTTTGGACCGAGGGAGCCGTTGACAAGATGTACCCCAAGCTCACTGTCAAGGCGAGGAAGGTGCACAACGGCCAGTTCCTGCCTGTCCAGATGTTTATGCAGGAGTTCCGGGAATTCGACTATGTTTGGAACTGGGAGATGGACTCACGGGTGGTTGGCCATCACTACAATGTGCTCAACAAGTTGGCTGAGTTTGGCCGCAAGCAGCCTCGACGGGGACTCTGGGAGCGCAACGAGCGCTTCTACATCCCTTCTTACTATGGAGGGTTCGAGTCCAAGTTCCGCCAAACGGTGGAGAGACAAGTCGGGGATGAGACGATTTGGGGCGCTCCCAAGCTTCCTGTTGTCAACCCTGTCGGTCCCAAGCCACCAGTCGAGAATCCCAAGGACGACAATTACAAATGGGGTGTTGGTGAGGAGGCCGATCTGATCACCCTGGCGCCCATATTCAATCCAGTCAACAGCGGCTGGATTATGCGCAACCAGGTGTGGGGATACCGAAACCTGAACTTCCCATGGGGCAAGCTACCTCGCCGGGCTACGATCATTACTCAAGTCAGAGCGTCAAGGAGGTTGATTGACGTGATGCATGCTGAGGATCTCAGAGGCAACCACGTCGCCTCCGAAATGGTTTCTCAGACCACCGCTCTCCTCCACGGACTGAAGGCTGTGTATGCGCCCATGCCAGTCTACTTTGACCGGGCGTGGAGCGGCAGCCAGCTGGCCAAGTGGTTCAACGGAGGCCCCAAGGGGCAAAGTGGCAGCTTCGGCAGCGCCATGGGATGGGGACAAGAGGGGAGATACCTGGGCAGCACATGGTACTACCGTGCCATTCCACCTCAGCGATTGTACAACAACTGGATGGGGTACGAGGACACTGGCATCGGCGGCCCCGAGTGGGAGCAGAAGCACGGGAGGACATGTCTTCCTTCGATGATTCTGCACCCGATCAAGGAGGTGAAGCCAACGGAGAAGGGGTATTCGACTGATTCGAAGCTTCCTTATGATTGAGAGGGGCTACAAGACAACACCAGCCGGTCTGATGGAAAACAAACAACAAAAAAAAGTATCCCGCCGAGTTGCTTGGTTTGAGAAAGAGGCTGCAAGGGTTGAAGGGCAGGACGATTTACTTTTTTTTTTTCTGCGGCGGAAATTTTGGGGGGAGGGACGAGGGTTATGAAGCCACCACATGCTTTTCTTTGGGAAAGGGCAGATGTACCGCTTACCTACCAAGCAACTCGTTTATTCATGAGGAGGTTACCCCAGGTTATTGTAACCAGATCATTGGATCTGGGGGTCGCGACCTCTGGTGGAGCATCATCGTCATTTTATCATGGGATGCATCACATTTTTATATACCCCGGATCATCATCATGAATATGGCCTCCCCCTGCCCCTGCCTGGGGGAGGGGGGGGGGGGGGTTGTGGGATGACATGTAACACACACACACATTGCTGCTTGTATGATAAAAAGCCACGATTTGTTTTGGGAGTTTTTGGAGTTGGTAGAATGGATGGATGGGAAAGGGGGGTAGGGGGATAGCATGGCATGTTTTTGGGAGCGTGATTCAAAAAAAGTACTGTATAGATAATTCTTAATGAACGGAATGGCATTTTTCATGAATATTTTGTTTCTTTATGTTGAGTATTGATGGGAAAGGGGCGTGTCAAAGTGATTCCTCTGGCGGGTTGGTGGTTTGGGTAAAATCAGGGGTCCACCCTTGTTCAAAAATAGCACCGCGTGACAGGCTGGCTAGTGGTGGAAGAGAAAGGATGATCCGATGGGGATTGGATTTGCCGGGTTTGTAGGTGATGGGATGGGATGGGCTTCTAGAACTTTTGGATTTGGAGGTGTAGGGGGGCAAAGGAGGGAGAAATGTGAACCCGAGTTTGTTGACAGTTTTTCGGGGGTTGATGATGATATCTACGATATGAAAAGTGGTGAATGATAGGGAAGGTGGGTCGGATATTAATCTTTTGGATCACCTAGCAATACCACATGCCATTTCCATCTTAGATGGGTAGGTGTAAAGCTTATCATTATGTTCCATGTCCGGCAGGCGCGGAAGGATCCTAGTAGGTATCACGGTAGTTTTTTTTTGTTGTTGGACTTCTGGAAGGTGCGGTGTGTAATTCTCGAATGATGCACGGGAACGGAGACGGAGAGACAGTGTGCTGGAGTGGTGTAAGTGAAGCCGGGAGAACCGATGGTGTAAGACATCTCAACTCACTTCCTCCATAACCAGGTTTGGGGGGAGTCATGGCCAGCAGCCCAGAGCGGGACCGAACAGGAAAAGAGTTCGGTGTTAAGACCCGGAAGTTAGAACTGGCCTGGGGGAAAGAAACTCCAGCCCAAGATGGGGAAAATCCAACAATGAGAAAATGGATAGCCTCAAGCACGACAACCTGGGATTGACAGGGCTGCCGTTGAAAATCGATCTCGTGGCGCCTGTAAGCCCCAAAGTTGTGGAGCGACATGGTCAGACTTTCAGCGCTTGAACAACGCCAAATCAGCCCAGAACGACAAGCCACTGTTCATGCTGAGCCACAAACGCCTTGGGAATCTTTGTAATACCTGCGTTTTGATTGGACAGAGATCCAAAATGGGGTACGGGTTGTGGGGATGTGGTCTGGGTGAGTCGATTGATGGACGACCCATTGTTCGTGTTTGCCGGGTGGTCCGTTGAACTTGGCAGTCACACGGTGTGCGGTGGTGGTGGTCAAAGGGCAGGGCTGCCAGGTGGGCTGGGCTCAGGCACCGGAGTTTGTGGCATGTTTGTTTTAAAAGGGATGAGGTTCCCGCCCAAAGTCTGAAGGCTTTTTGGTCTTTTTGTTCTTATGATCAGTAAAGCATTTATTACCTACACAGACGATTTTTGATCTGGGGATCTGGAAGTACCGGACAAACGTTCAACAAAACGAGTTTCATCAACCCAGCCAACCACAAGCTCTCCACTTGTTCACTTACACGCGGTCTTCAACAACAACCACAACCTTTTATACACCACCGCTCTCACCACCACCACCACCACCACCACAACAACAACAACAACAACAACAAACAACAACAACAACTTTCTTCTCTCTTAAAGTTCAACTCACAAAAACAAAGCCGTCAAAATGTCCCCGACACACACCATGTCCGCCCACCTCTGCAAACAAATCGTCTCCTCCTGGCGCGAGAGCAGACAGTCCAACACCACCACCAGCAGCCCCCTCCCTTCCCCCCCAAACAACATGGGCTCCTACTTCCCTCGCTCTCTCTCTTCCTCATCATCACCAAAGACCTCGCTAGACAACGGCGACCGTCACGACACCTCTGTCCCTCTGTCAAGACAAACGTTCAACAACAACAACAACAACAACAGCAACTGGAGATGGGGGTCCCGTTAAGCGGAAGGAACTGATTGGTCCAAAAAGGGAAGGAGGAAAGAAAGAAAGTGTTATCGTATGATTTGAGGGAGGATATCGCACCACCCAACTACACCACACCACACCACACCATTTTTATTTAATACGACTACGAACCACCCACACCAGTTACTAGAGAGAGGGAGGGATGGATGCCTGGATGGGGTATGCCGAGTTATGCAGGCCCATCGTTGGTGGTACACACACCTTAGACTTGGGTTTGAAAGGAGGGAGGTTTAGTCGACATTACACAACATGAAATGGGCGGTGGAATACAAGGGATTTTTGGGCTGGACTACTGGACTGGACTGGAATTGGATGGCGACATTCTACAATGAAGAGAGAGGGAACATCATTCGCAGCCCGCACAGCCAGCTTGGCAGGGCGCTGGACAAACACAACGGAGTTAAACGGAGAGGGATTCATTGATTTTGCTTTGTTATCATCATCATTATACCAATTTACTATTTTTTCACCATTTACTTGAACTATGTCGCAATATCCTGCTTATGTCACTGTGGGTGAGAGTGAAAGTTGGCATTTTGCCTTGTAAGGTGTGAATGAGATGAGATGGCGCAATCGACACTAACAATTGACAGTTCCCTTGTGCTGGAAAAAGAAGATCATTTTGTTGGCCGCTTCGGTACCGAATATCTCTATAATGAAAATTTGGCTCGCCCAGTCATGAATCCATAACGGAAGGTTTCTTTGCGCGGTGTCTGTTACGCAAAATTCTTTCGAGAATCGTGCCATGCGAGAGGGAATGTCATGCCATTTTTATCTAAACCGGGCGTGCCGCAGGTCGCCGTTTGTTGCTGCTACCTTGACCGCTGTTACTGGTGTAAGTGTTTCTCGCACGGTGTGGGGAATGGATCGGACCCGGAGAGCGGTACAGGAAAGGGGAGAACCGGTGGGAATTGAGATCGGGGAAAGGTTTATAAGGTCCACATTTTCCCGTTGGGGGAGGGAGATCTAACGGGAATGCCGGTGACCGGGTTTGGCTGCCGGTTTTTGGTGGTGCGGAGGGAGGTGATGGATTGATACCATATCTTTCTACTTGCTCATTTGTGCCAATGCCCCAGCTCTGCATGTTGAGCGAAGGCTGTATTGGCTTGACACACCTGTTTGAGTTACCCGTTGGAGATTTGTCTCGAGGACACAGGTGTCTGTGTTATTCATGATCTTTCTGGCATCGTCTGTGGCGTGAGTCGGCGACAGCAAGCTTGGACGAGGTTGGATGATTCTGGGTTGGTCAGTGAACGTTTGTCCCCGGCTGAACTATTGTTGTCCTCTATCTACTTGTACACATCCAGTTTCTCAAGATGTACCAACCCATTCGCAGGCTGTCAAATCCCGTCAGCTTTTCTTCATCCCCATTCAATCATAAAAGGAAGCTACTCACCGGGGCATACTGCCTCAACTTCACCCCCGCCTCCCTGAACACCGCCGCCGTATCCCCATCCATGCTATACCCGTGACTATACACCACCTCCCCGATCCCAACCTGAACAATCTTGATGCTGCACGTCAAGCACGGGTGCGTAGTGCAGTACAGCACCGCGCCCTCCCTCACCCTCTCCCTTCCCGCTTCAAGCAGGGCATTCTCCTCGGCATGGATACAAAGACAAGTCGTCAACCCGTGCCCTGACCCCTGACCGGCATTGCACCTGTCACATCCCCCCTCCCCACAGTTGACCAAGCCCCTGGGTGTACCGTTGTAACCCGTGCTGATAACCCTCTTATCCCTCACAATAACGCACCCAACCCGCCGCTTCATGCAGTTTGCCCTCTGCGCCGCCAGCTCAGCCAACGCCATGAAGTAGGCGTCCCACGACGGGCGGAGCCGGTCTTGATTCAACAAATCCAGCTTCCCCAGCGTGGCGTACAAGTGGGCGAGAGAAGAAGAGGTGTTCAACAACCTCACTGTCGCTCTTGATATCATCGCCTGGGTGCCGTTTACTGGATCGTAGAGATGGGAGTCGTTTAGTGTGACGAACGACTCGAGATCAGTAACTTCATGATCGGGTTCCGACTCCTCGTTTGGTCCTTTCAAGAACCGGCCGTGGTTGGACTGGGACTGTCGAGCTAGGAAACGTTTCCAGCGGACGGTCAAGGGGGCGTCGACCGAGAGGAGGAGGAAGAAGGGGCGGCGGGTGTACATTTCGAGAATTTCTTCTGAGGGAATGTCGGTTGTTACGAAGCGGTCGCGCCATCGTTTGGTGACGAATTCGAGGAGTTCTTCGGGGGTGGAGAAGGTGGTTTGGGTGGTGGTGGAGGAGGAGATGGAGGATGGGGGGGTGGTTTGGGTTGTTTGTTTTGGGGAGAGGTAGAGGTGGGTGAAGCCGTGGTGGTCGGCGAGGTAGTTGGCGATGGTGCGCTTGCCGGCGCAGATGCCTATGATATGTGTAAGTAAGAGTGGATGGGTGAGAGGCCAAGGTGGTCATGTGTTTACTGCCGCAGATTCCAATGAACATTTTGACTGTTGAGTGGAGATTGAAGATTGGTGTTTTGATCAGATGGAGAAGTAGGGATCCGAAATGAGAACGTCTATTCTCTCAGTAAATATCTACAACCATGAAACTCTCCGGCCAGCTAAGGTGTGTAATAAGTCCGTTTTGAAATGGCGGAGAACGAAGACGCGCTTCCAGCTGCAAGTCATCAACGCGTGAGCGCGTCTTCAAGCTCCTCGTGGCCGATGATTAACCGGTGGGATGTGTCTGTCTTCAGTTGGCCATGATATCAAACAATAGTACATTTTGGTTAAGGACTATTCTATGTTCACAGTTTGGTCCCGTTCCTTATTTCCCATATCTGATGGGCCGTATTCTAGAATCTCTCCGTGACCATCAGCCTTTGTCCAAGGTGGTGGCTCAGGTACCTTGCCTTGTTCATGGCGGGGCAGTCTGGTATACGCTTGAAGCAGATCCCTGGAAAGTGCGGGGCATCAGCCAGAGCTTCCTTCCTCCACGCCCCGCTATCGAACTGAAGCTGGTACCTCCCATCTGACTTCCAACTTGAACCGAATAGAACGGCAGTTGCGTATCGTATATAATCCAGGTCTTACCTTCCCAAGCTTGTGACACACCAGGCACCGGTCATCCGGTGATGCCACACCACACCTGACCAAAGCTTTGCAGCTTACCTGAGACGCACATGTGTTCCAAGGTGTATCTATCTCTAACGCTCTAGACGATTCGAGTCATCCACAACAGTATTATCCTTCTTTGCCAAATCCAACAAAGCCGCCAGGCTAGATCTTCTCAACGTCGCCGCTTTGACCAGTTCGCGAACAGTAACTTCGCTCCGAAATCGCGTACACAACTTGCGATCACAACCCCGCGGTCAGTCTTCCCCAAACACCAACGAATCGAGAATCAACCCAGCGAATCGACCCCGCGAGGCGACCACAGAGTACCATGGCGCCCGTCAAATTCGTCCCATTCTCTTCGGAGATAGAACTACCGTTCTATTCATCGCTTTTCTCGTCCAAACTCGACCATGACCGACTTGACGATTCCGCCCGCGCGGTTTTGGGCGTTTACGAGCCCCGCGTGCAGGCCGATCCCGAGGCCAGCGTGAGGATGCAAATACTGGGAAATGCCCTCACAGCCAAAGAGTAGGTTTCTGCAAATTGAACTTTTACATTGTGCTGTTCGAACTAATGGCTGACAGTGACGACAGCCTACCTGTTGGCACGAGTCGCGCAAAGGGGTTTATCAAGAACGTTAACACCATCGAAGATTTCAACAATGTCAACAAGACTGCCATGATCGAGGACATCGGCCGGCAGGTGTGTTTATTCTTGACCTGGGGCCAGTTCTTTGTGAACTAACCACGCTTTGGACACCAGATTTGGGATGCAATTCAAGACGGCACAATCTACTCAGTTCCCTCTCTACTGTCGTCCTTCGCGATCCTTTCGTTCGCCGACCTCAAAAAGTACCGATTTACATATTGGTTTGCATTTCCGGCCCTACACTTCAAGAAACCTCTATGGGAACGATCTGGCGACATCGAGCGGTTAAACTCTGGGGAAAGCGAAGCTCTCGTCGAGTCGGTTGGCACATGGCGGTATACTGTCAGCACGGAGAAGGAGCATGGTTTCTTTCTTGCGAAGAAGTCACGGGGCGAGCATGCCACAGGAAGAGGACCTGTGGACGACTCGATGGCAGAGGAAATAGGATACCAGTGGCAAATCGGGTCACTACGCGATTTTGAGAATGGCTTCTTCAACGACATCCCCGAGGAGGACCGATATGTTGCCTTTGTGGACCCCTCAAACTACCCTGAACACCCTTCATGGCCGTTGCGAAATCTCCTGGTCCTGATCTCGCATCGATATCGGCTGAAGAAGGTACAGATTCTTTGTTACCGTGATACCCAAGCACGCAGGCACGAGGCTCGGAGCATCATTCTCCCGTTGTCCTTGAACCTACCCAAAGATTTCGATTTCGCGACGGTTCCCGACGTAACAGGCTGGGAAAGGGACGGCGGATCGAAACTGAGGCGCCGGGTAGCCGATCTGGCCGAGTATATGGACCCGACCAAGCTGGCCGATCAAGCTGTGGACCTCAACTTGAAGCTTATGAAGTGGCGCCTGGCACCAAATCTGGAACTCGACACCATCAAAAACACCAGCTGTCTCTTGCTGGGTGCTGGAACGCTTGGCAGTTATGTGTCTAGGAATCTCATGGGCTGGGGCGTACGGAAGATCACTTTTGTGGACTATGGTGCCATTTCATTCTCGAATCCTGTTAGGCAGCCATTATTCGAGTTTGAGGACTGTCTTCAAGGGGGCAAACCAAAGGCCTTGAAGGCGGCTGAGGCGCTCAAAAGGATCTACCCGGGAGTGGAAGCCGAAGGGCATGTGCTCTCGGTGCCTATGTTGGGGCACCCAGTTACCAACGAGGCTAAGACCCGAGACGACTTCAATAAGCTACAAGAGCTGGTCAACTCACACGATGCCGTCTTCATGCTCTTGGATACCCGCGAGTCGAGGTGGTTGCCTACGCTCATGGCCAAATCCGCGAACAAAATCGTCCTCAATGCTGCGCTTGGATTCGACACATATGTGGTCATGAGACATGGAGCCAAACCGGAAGATGGGAGTGAAGACACCCTGGGTTGCTATTTCTGCAACGACGTCGTTGTTGCTGCCGATGTAAGTTTTCTGGCTGTCCCTATTCTCCACATGATACACAAAACTAACGAGCAAATAGTCCATGAAAGACGCAACCCTGGATCAACAATGCACCGTCACCCGTCCCGGAGTGGCAGCTATTGCCTCGGCTCTCCTCGTCGAGTTGTTCTCCAGCATTCTCCAGCATCCACAGAGGCAGCACGCCCCCGCACCTGTTCCATCAGCCAATGGAGAATATGAACGTGACCCCCCTGAGCACCCCTTGGGCATCGTACCACACCAGATCAGAGGGTTCTTGTCCTCGTTCAACAATATGAATATCCGTGGGAGGTCATATCCACAGTGCAGTGCTTGCTCCAAGCCAATTCTGGAAGCTTATGCAAAGGATGGATGGGGATTCGTCAAAAAGGCCCTAGCTGATAGGGACTATGTTGCCGAGTTGAGTGGGCTGGCTGAGGTTCAACGACAGGCGGAAGCGGCTGCTGCAGATGTGGAGTGGAGCGAGGAAGAAGGTGACGATGACGGCGAGGGTATACTACTATGACGTTAGTGAATGCTTTTGTAGATACGGGCTATACTGGCGTCTTGGTGTTAGCGGGGTTTCATGGTTACCCAGGGTTTAGGTCAAGTCTTTGGTCTTATGATAGATGAGATATTATATGCTGTTCTGCTTGAGATTTATCTGAGAGGTGTACTAAGAGAGTCGAGAGGAGTGCTAAGTTCTGCAGAGAACGGGCAGACCACGACACTCATCTTGTCTGTGGTAAAGCTACAAGCGAGCAAGTGTTGCCGAAACTGCTGCCTCCAGTGTCATCACATTGACCATCTTTGAAGCCTTTCATATTCTGTTCTGTCAAGTCGCTATACTTTTGTCCACAACATGATTGCTCTCGCAAGTCGAACCCCCGGCTAGATGCCCATCACGCCAACCCAACTTCGTCCTAGCCCCGCCAAGCTCATCCCTATCTTATCCCAAAGCGGTCAAACCCGTCAAAACTTCCCGCCCCACTTTATTTTTCCCTTCCCTCTCTCCCCAAAATTTCCCCACCACCAAACTTGGCCCCTTCCCTTTTTTCTCCAGCAACCACCCCGACAAAACAACCGACAAAGATGGCGCAAGGAGCCATCAAAAAGGCCCCCAAGGCCAACCCGGGGCTCACCAAAGCCAAGGGCAGCGGCGGCGGAGCGAAAAAGGTCAACAAACCCCAAAAGGCCAAGAGCGGCGGGAGCGCAGACAAGCAAAAGAAGAAGTTCACCTCGGGCATGGTGGCCAAGACGGAGCTGATGCTGGGGGCGAGGGCGGGGCATCTGGAGCTGATCGGGAAGGGGAGGGACAAGACGAAGAAGGGGCCTGCGACGGAGAGTAAAGGGGGGAGCCGGAAGTTTGGTTAAGACTGACTGCGCACTTTGTATGGTGGCAAGTCTGGGACGGAGAACGACGGCGGGGCGGGTTGGGAGATTTGGAAGGGGATGGAAACGACAAGGGAAAGGACGACAAGATACCCATTGTTTACGATATTGTTTCGCGATTCTTGCATGACTTTTGGGATTGGAAGGGATTTGGTACGACTCAATATGGCCGACAGACTGCTCGCTTTTGTAAAAATTGCATTTACGCCTCGACAAAACTCTCGGCGACTTCTCTCAAGACGCCCTCTACATACTTTGCGTCCCTCTCAACCTCGACCCTCCACGTCGACACAGCGATTCTCACCGCCTTCCTGCCTTGCCATTGCGTCCCGCTCACAAACATCTTGCCCGTCTGGTTGATCCGATCAACGAGAACATTATTCAGCGCCTCGTTTCTCGCCCGGAATAACACAATCATGAAGATGTCTTCCTCGACATGATTCTCAGTCTCAGGAAGCAGCTCGTAATGTTCAGAGTTGTGGATAAAAGAGGCGAGTTTCCTGGCAAGGAACACCATCCGGCTGAACATGGCCTCCATGCCCTCTCGGCCCTCGCTTTTCAGGACGGCATAAACTGGCAGGGCGCGGAAGCGACGGGAGTTCTCAAGGCCGATGTTCAAAGGGCCGAAGATCCCATCTTCTTGGGAACCGGCAGCAGAGGAGGATGGCGGGGGAGCCAGGTAGGCGGCGCCCGGGTTGCTAAACACTTGAGTGAGGGTGGATGGGTGGCGGGAGAAGAAAATGCCGTTGTCGTAGGGCTTTTTAACACGCACACACACACACACATATTAATACAGCAAGCAAATAAAAAGTTGAAAACATATACAAAAAAAAACTCAAAAAACTCACCACATTGAGAAGTTTATGCCCATCCACGCAGATACTATCCGCCAATTCCATGCCTGCGACACAGGCACGCAGACTAAGAAACTGGTCTGTTTTGGGCAGAGCCCGGGCAAAGATGCCAAAGGCGCCGTCGACGTGGATCCAGGCCTTGTAACGGTCAGCCAGGCTGCGGATCTTGGGCATGTCGAAGATGGCTGTGGCGAACCGGCCGGTGTTGACCTCGCCCGAGGAGATGGCTATGATGCATGCTGTGCTGTTTTTTTCAGCCTCTTTCAGGGCTGGTTCCAACTTGTCGAGGTCGATTCTCCACGGTTTGTCATCTTGTCCAACATCGAGCACGCACTCCTCCCCCAACCCCAATATCTTGGCCGCCTGAGCAGCGAGGAATGGGGTTC